AAAGAGGGGGAGGGAGGAAGAGAGAGAAATTGATCAGTTGCTACTCACCCCCCACCCATACAAGCCCTGACTAGAGATCAAACCCAAAACCTAGGAATGTGCACTGACTGGGAATTGAACCTGAAACCTTTGTTGTAAGGGATGACACTGGATTAGTTGTGGTGAAGGAGGGAGAGGGAGCAGCCATGGGAGCTTGTGAGTGGGAGAGGGAGGGGATCAGCAGAGAGAGGCCAGCTTGCCTTGATGGCTGTACCCCTAGAGCCCATGGGAGAACTCAGGGATACATCCCAGGTGACCGTTGAGGGAAATTACCTACAATGTCAGGAGAGAGGCTTACATCTGGAAGCAATTCCAATTCGTTATTTTTAAACCCCCCAGCTGGATAGACTTAGAAGGAAGGAGGCAATGATCATTTGTATCTTGTCCCAGACAAGCTGTCACTCAGGGTCCAGAAAAAGGCTGATGGGGCTGGCCTGGTGGTCACGAAACACTGTGAGGCCAGGTCATTCCTCCTTAGAAGCTGAGCACTGGTGCCAAAAGGTGACACTGCTTGGTGGTCTGGGCAGCAGTAGCAGCCAATCAGCCACGATGACTTAGTAACATCTCTACCCAAAAGAGCACTTTCAATTGTCCTAGTGGAGCCCAGAGCAGGCACTGCGATGGCCTGCACAGCCCTAGCACACCCCTGCACAGCCTTCCCCAGAGGGCACATATACCCCTTAGTCACTCCTCAGGGCAGACTGAGTGGGGAAGACACAGGTCCTTCTTCCTGGACAAAGGAATAAAAGCCAAGAGTCCTGGCTGTAGTGGGCACTTAGTTTTGGATGCTTGGCATCGAACCTCTTTCTGGGTCTGGGGAATCCCCCTGTTAGGAAGCCTACAGTGGAGGCGGCACTAGAAGATACTGGCTTTTCCAACCTCCCCCTCAGCTAACAACCTGTCCTCCTCCACCAGAGCTGAGCAAGACACCTGCCTGAGACTGAATTGACAGCTAGTGGCTGTTGAAATCCACTCTGGTGACAGGTGGCAGCCTCTGTAATTAGTTCTCAAAAGAGCAGAGGAAATGATCCTAGAGACGGTGGCTGGTGTGGGGGCATCTGTGGTGTCAGCCCCAGGGTGTAAGCCCGGGAGCACCCAGGAGTGACATGGGGAAGTGCCGCACCTGGTGACCATGTGACTTAGCCAATACCCTTTAAGAAACATACTTCCTCCCCAGCCAGATTTGCTATCACCTGCAAATAAGAACTCTGACATGGTGCCAAAAGGTGACACTGAGGACATGAAAGATTGGAGCTAAGGACAGACTTCTGTTGGTGTATCTATCCTGGGTTTGTATCTTTAAAACTCTTAAAAAGGAGACATGGAAGGTACATCCACTATCTCATGCCCAATTCAGATGCAGCTTGGTCCCATGTGGACAACCCAAAGTTGTACCCTTTGCAAAGCCTGGCGCCTCAGTTACACCCGCTGGAGGTGGAAGTGTCTGCAGTCATCCTGCTGAGAAAGAGGCCAAAGCTACTTAGGATTTAGTTTCGGGGTGTGGAAGACCAAGTGCTAAGAATGCTTCCACCGAAGGCTTGGCAGTGTCCTTCCTTACATGTCTTCCCAAACAACAGAGCCATTTTTTTTTCATCTCCTACCACCTCACTCCATGTTTCTGCATGCCGGGTGATGCACTGTAAATGCTTTCTGAGCAATCCCTTTTGCAGAATAGTTGACATATTGCAATAAGGAAGAGGGATGAGTCACATGACATCAGAGTTCATTGGTTCCAATGATTCCAGTCTTTCTAAGAAGGCATTTTTGCCAAAATTGCACATATGTTCCTTAAAACACACACACACACACACACACACACACACACAATTATTTTCTGATGGAATTTTTCCCTCTCTCAGACCATCAGTCCACTCCATGCATTAGACTTGAGTACAGTCTCTCAGGTCTTCTCATTCCTCAGAGAACTGTCCTGGTAACTCAAAGACATGGATTTTCCTAAATGGCTTTCTGAGGAGAACAAGGAGGCTCCAAGAAGGTGACAGCAGCTTTACTTTCCTCTCACACGAAGAGCTATTGGTGGCCAAGTCTGGGAGAACAGAAGGAATTCTGGGAGCACACAAAGTGCAGAGATGCACACAACAGACGGCAGGGACTTCAAAAGCATAAGTCACCTTGAAGAATAATGGTGCTAAGGGAGGGAGAAGGAAGCTTTTGTACCCTCTGACAACAAGGAAGCAGAGAAGACAAAAGCTATTTGCCAGACTTGTGCACAAATCAATAGAACTGAGACGTGGTTCTGCTGTAATTTACATCAAGGGAGGCCAACCCTCCTGTCTTCTTGTCTAGAAATAAATGGCTTCAATCAGCTGACAAACTGTTCTCTTGCCTCCTGATCTTTTTTTTTTTCTTTTTCTTTTCCTTTCTTTACACAGGGAGCATGTACATGCTCTCTATGCAGGTAGCTAATCTGTAAGACTCTTCTTCCATTCATCACGCCTCAAGTATTTCAGAAGCTCTAACTCAGTGGTTGCCAACCTTTCAGATCTCACGGATCACTGGTCTACCGTTTGGCGACCATTGCTTTGACCTCTTGTCAGAGGCCACTGTGGGAGACACAGCATGACCAGTAGAGCCCAGCCCTGGTCACCGAAAGGCATAGCTGGCCAGAGGTGAGGGAGGTGAGGGTTCCTGTGATTTCTCTGTGCTTACTCCAGTGCCAGTTCATAGGCTTCTTGCACATTTTCCAGATGGCTAACTTGAGACACAAGGCTAAATAACTCACCTAGGTCAGAGCTGGGAGGGAAGGCTGGTTGGAGCCAGAGACAGAACCTTCTTCCTTGCTGCTAGATTCACCTGGGCCAAAGCCAGGGTGAGCAGCAGGTGGGGCAGCTTCTCACCTGAGGATGTTAAATGTTTGTTTCTGGTTCTGAGACAAAACATTCTGCCCTGAGTCCCAGCAAAGGTCAAAACTGGCCCCTCCAAATCTTAGCTATGGTGAATTGTGCCGCTAGGAAGTGCCCACCAGCGGGTGAGTGGATTAAAAAAACTACACCATGGAATACTACACTGCGGTAAAAAAGAAGGAATTCTTACCATTTGCAACAGAATGGATGGAACTGGAGAGCATTATGCTAAGCGAAATAAGCCAGTCAGAGAAAGATCTCATCATTTGTGGGATATGATGAACAACATCAATTGATGAACATAAACAGATCCAGAGACAGAGAAGCAGCGATCAGACCATCAAACCTCAGAGGGAAGGTAGAGGAGGGTGGGGGTAAGGGGGAGAGATCAACCAAAGGACTTTGTGTGCATGCATATAAGCCTAACCAGTGGACACAGACCCCAGGGAGATGAGGGCATGAGTAGTGTGTGGGGTGTCAGGGAGATGAGGGCATGAGTAGTGTGTGGGGTGTCAATAGGGGGATAAGAAATAAAAAAACTGGCCTTTCTTCTCTGAGGAGGGAGATAGGAAAGTGCCCATTCCCCAACACCACGAGGCCAGGATGGTCGGGACAAGGCCACCACCATCCCCTTCCACCATCTGTTCCTCTTTGCTGTGTGGGCCTCAACTGCTCGTGAAAGGGATCAAACCTCAGAAGCCTGTTCTCCTTCTTTGAAGCTGACAGCTTGATGCCTGTGGAAATGCAGTACTATTTCAGGATTTCATTTGAAAGAGGTTTCAAAAGAGTGAATTGAGGGCTCGGTTGAATTGCTTATTATGGCTCTTCTCCCGGCCCGAGTCTCAGTTGGTGAGCCCAAACACAGCATCTGTGGCTTTTGCACGTCATCCACAGGCAGGTGATTGTTCTAAATTAGCACCTGGCTCGTTTGGGAGAGCTGTAACTCTTCCTGAGCCTTCGCCCAAGACGCAAGCGGAACTCTCACAGCTTGTGCCTCTCCTATATTATCTATGTCTGAAATGATCCTCCAGGAAGTCTACCAGATAGATGATATGAGACCCGTTTATGGCAAGCATGTCTTAAGGACACCAAAAATAAAGGCTATGAAAATGCTACTAGGAAACCTGGGTGGCTGTGACTGCCCCCCATCCCCCCCAGACCCTCAGAGGCAAACAGGATAAAACAGGTTTTCCAGGGAAGATGGGGTATGAAATGGAAGGCTCTGGGGCACTGCAGGAGCTTGGGGGAAGGGGAGCATGATGCCCACACTGTTGCTGGGGTCTGCCCCACCAGTGCCAGTGTTTGGGGCATACTCCACCTTGTCTGCCTCTCTAATACTGCCCCCACCACACTAACGCATTGGTCATCTTTTCACACAGGCCTTCCTTGAGCCATGTCTCATTTATATTTATATGCCCACACTGGCACAGAGAAGCATTCTCAACACATGCTGATGAATAAAAGAAGGATCCAGTAATCTGAGGGGAATGGTTTTACATACTAACGTGAAAAGAGGGGGTACGGGGTGTGAAGGAGAGAGGAGGAGGAGAGGAGGAATGTGGATGTCCATGGGAGTAGAAGCTGAGAGCCTGGGGCCCTTTTCCCTCAGTAATTACTCTCTACCTCATAAAGGAAAGTACTGTGCGTTTGAAGAAATTAAAACAGAGGCATTGAGGTTCCCTATGTATGGTGCCAGTACACCGCCACATCCAGGTAGGCACACCAGGGCTTGTATTCTAGACGGTCTCTCCCAGGGACAACTGTGAAATATCCGGCTGGGACTGACAAGAGGCTCTTGACTCGGAAGCATCAAGAACTTCCCTCTGCTTCCAGAACAGCCATTAGTACTACACTTAGACTCTGAGGGGTGTCACACACAGCAATGCCCCCTCAAAGCAGCTAGAGCATTGGCTTTCTCCACCATCAAACTTTCAAGCAAATATCAATGACCACATTCCCATTTCAGAGGCAGAGTTACCACAAAACCAACCTATTACTCTCACCCAGCCAGAGTTCACCATATGACCACCAGTTGACTGCCCTTTCAAGTCCTTTATTCACAGAAACTGTTTGCCTGTTGTCCCTCCCATCCCAACCCCCAGGTTATTGGCAAAAGATTGACAAGACCCTGTTGGGTCAGGTCTTATCCTGGCTCCTCTAAAACCAAGGCCACTAGCCACACCTCCCTGAGAGTATTAAGATGGCAGTGCTTACATGAGAAGGGCTTGAGTCCCCAGCCCCCAGCCTGGCTTTATCATAATAGAGAGGCATTGCTTTTGTGGGAGCACACCACCATCAATTTCCATGACCTCTGGTGTTGCATACTCAACACCTGGCTCCCCCCAGAGAACAGGGGTAGGTACAGCTGGGGTGGGAGAGTGATGAGATGGGGCACAGGCCTTCCAGAGGGACTCTCTGCCCGCTTGAGCCCCCAAACAACAGCTGGCTTACCTAATAAGAACAGTTCACTCCGCTGCCACCATTCTGTTTGTTTTGCTAGATTCTGGAAAATGTGGGATTTTTTCAGAAAGCAGGAGAAACCCCTAATTCATGGCCAGTCAGGATAAACTCCTTGAAGACCATGAGCTAAAATTAATGAAGGCAGCCATGCCAATGAAACAAGAGGTCAAGAAAGAAAGAAAGCCATGAGAAAAAGCAAACTTCCCCAGAAAGAGTTGCTCTATTTAGAAAACAGTTCGATCCACAGACAGACTACCCCTTGTCAAGGTCTTCTTCTAATGCCGCTTCTTCAAAATAGACTCCCCCAGGCCATGGTATTTTGTGGAAGAGCCACACTCAAGGGGCCAAAGAGCTGCATGTGGCTCGGGAGCTGCAGTTTGCCGACCACTGTACTAGAAGGATCTTCAACATGTGCAGTAGCTCACCAAACCTATTTTGGTAACTCTCTATGAGAGCCAATTTAAGATGGATTTTTAGTTCATATTGCACTCAAAAGATACCAGTTTCCAATTCCTCCTTAGACTCCAGGAGAACAGATGCTATGACAAAATGTTCTAGCAAAATAGACCTGGACAATAATCCTATGCCACTCGAAGCAACAGGATTCCTGTTCTTTCTTTGGCTTGGACATATACTGTTTTCAGGTCACTGCCATTTCTGCCTTGCCAGTGTTTTTTGAAAAATATGTTTTTATTGATTTCAGAGAGAGGAAGGGAGAAGGAGAGAGATAGAAACATCAATGATGAGAGAGAATCATTAATCGGCTGCCTCCTGCACACCCCACACTGGGGATCGAGCCCACAACCCTGGCATATGCTCTGACTGGGAACCGAACTGTGACCTCCTGGTTCATAGGTTGACACTTAACCACTTAGCCACGCTGGCTGGGCTCTTCCAGTGTTTCTAATGGGACATGCTTTTGTGACAGCACAGGGGATCTTGGGCACAGAAGAGAGTTCCCAATGAGGCTAGGGGGCAAGTGACAGACTCACAGCACCAAGGCACTATTGCATCTGGCAGCCTGAATTGGGCAGCAATTCTTGCAAATGAGAAGCCACTGCCTTTGTTAGATAGGTCATTGTCCCATAAGCCCCGCTTGGAGCACTGTCGTAAAAGAAGTGGCAAATGCCTGTGGCTTGGTCTTTCTCCAGGGTGTCCATGGCGCCAATCGACATCTGTAGCAGGAAAAGGCAGAGTAAAGAATGAGCAGATTTTCCAGCCCTGTGATGACTCTGTGTGCTGCGGGCCCATGGCCCATGGAGTTCCAGGCCTGGGGAAGGAGAGCCTACAGTGCCCGGGGGAACATTGACCTCTGCTCCGGGCACTGCACTGGGTTCCCACATGCCCCAGTTCACTCTAATAAGTGGATGGCTTCTCCTAATACAGAGAAAGTGGTTTTATCTACCCAGGGCTATATATGCACAGGGGCAGTATTTGCACTAAAACCTATGCTGAAATGGACCAGTCCACTTCAAAGGTCTTTAAATTTCCCAAGTGGCCACTTTGCCACTTTTTAACCAAATAGTTGACATTTTCCACCAACTGTGATGACATTTTCTTTGGTCAAGAACATTCTTTCCTATTGGACTCAGAATTTCCAATCTTGATAAATGCCAGCCTAACTGGCTACCATGCCTCTGTCCCCACCTTGGCTGTGGATGAATGAACAGGCCCGGACACACCCACCTGGTCCTGCAGGAACAGCTGGTTGGCCATCTGCACGATCTGGTCCACGTGGATGATGCCCCCGATGCTATTCATCTCGGTGTCTGAGAGCAGCGTTAGCACCATGATGGCTTCTACCAGCAGCTGCCGGTACTCGGGTTGAGGCACACGGTTCAGCACTGACTCAACATGGACAGCGAACTTGATCTCCTGCGGAGTCATCTGCCAAAGGGTCCAGTCAGGGGGTCAGGAGTGAGACAGGACAGACATAGCCTGTCACCAACACTAACCTCAACACCCACTGGGTTGAGGTCTCTGCTCAAATGTTGCCTCCTTTTTGGTCATTGTCCTGATTCTGCCAGCAGGACCCCTCTGAAACAAGAGGCCGAGGCTTTGCTCTGGGAGGCAGTTGGCCTTATCCTAGCTTTATTTGCCTATAACCCACTGGCCTTGGACTTCTTGGGGTCAGGGACCGTTTCATATTTCTCATTCTTCTTCATCATTCTTATAGCATATGGCATGGTGCCTTGGGTAGGGTAAAAACTAAAAAAAAAAACAACGTTTTTAAAAGAATGAATAAGAGGAAAGAAACCAGGGACGATGACTGCTCTCAGCAGAGAGGGGTCAGAGGAGGCTGCATGTGGGTTTGATGAGTGTGGCATGCGGCTTTGCTCTTTTCTCTTAATAGGCTTTTATGGGGCAAATCTAAAGACCTTCACAGCCAGAAACGCTATTTCTGAGAGGAAGGATAAAAGGTGATGCTAATAAGTGTGGGAAAGAAACTTTGCAAAAATTGAGGGTAAGTAAGCCTGTCTATAAATGTAAGAAGCTTGAAAGAAGTATCAGTGGTCAGAGCACTGGGTAGAAATGTTTGGGTTTTTCCCATCATACCTCTCGTGTCGTTGAGGACGGGAGCACGTAACCATCGATGGACAGGCCATGGCACTGCAGGCAGAACACACACATCACATTTCAGTCCAATTCCAGCATGCGATTGATAAGTGTGCACACACATGCGCACACACGCAAGTTGCTTTGCCCTGAAAACCTGCATGAGGGCTGGAACACGCCAGACTGTCATTTATTTTTAGAGAGCTGTTCTCACTGCCCACAGGCTGTGTTTTCGAATGGAACAATCCTAGGGAACCAACAGGCATGTTTCAGATCTCCCACGAACAATGCCCCAGGAACTGCCAGGTCTTCATACACTTGGCTGAGAGGCCCCCATTGGTGCCATATAAAAGGAGACTTTCATTACTCCTGCTGGTGAAGTGATACTTCTGTGCCTTTGCAAGGCATCTATTTTTGAGATTTCTAAAATAAGCAGCAATCACATAAAAAACAAAACAAAACTCGAGCACATGCACAGACACTCACACGCACACCCATGTATATAAATATCAAGCGCCAACTCGATACAAAATGCTGTTTCTTCATAATAAGAGTGTCTTGGTATTGAGTCAGTGGAAGTCTAGATGGAAGTGTGTGATGCCCCAGGAAGAGTGAGGAGATTTTTCTAGGAACAGTTCGTACTAGTCTAATTGGCTGCCTTCCAAATCCCAGTGTCTTGGCCGGCAGCAAATGCCCACCCCTGTCCTTGGGGGGCTGAGGACAGAGTGGCTGCAAACACTAGTGCCTCCTGACGAGAGGCAGAGAATGGAGAACTAGAGGCCTGTGTGGGCTCTGAGGGCTCTCATACCACGTGGGGACCAGGAGCCCAGCTGCATAAGGACAGGAACCACTCTGACCGCCCCATGCCCGGCTCAGTAAGACAGACAGAGAGGCCAAAGGTATGTCCACAGAAATATCACAGCTGAGTGATGCTGTGGCTTTAGGAAGGAACTCGTAGGCACTCATTTGGGATGGCTTTTCTCTCCTCTCCTACTGTGAAATGAGCTATCAAAAATAGCTTCTGAAAAAAATCCATCCTGCCCATTGTTCCTGGTTTGCATAGAAGCTTTTTATTAAATTTCTTTTTCTATTGAGTTTATTGAGGTGACATTGGTTAATAAAAGATTTCACTTATCTGTGGGATCTAATTAACAAAATAAACTAACAAAGTAGAGACAGAGTCATGGATATAGAGAGCAGACTGCAGCCCTCATGGGGTTGGAGAGAGGGGCTGGGTGAGAAGGGTGAAGGGATTAAACAAAGAAAAAAAAACCCAGAAAGATTCATAGACACAGAGGACAGTATGGTGATTGCCAGAGGGAAGGGAAGGGGAGGTAGAAAAGGGTAAGGGGGGTAAATGCTGATGCATAGAAGCTTTTAACTGAGGCTTACTGCCCCTCCGGGCAGGAGGAAAGACAAGATCTACTGGGACCCATGGAGATACAAATGCTCTGGGGTATATGTAGAAGGGGGACAGAATGTGGGTACAGAGAGCAATGGCCATGGTTTCCCCCACGGACCCCTCCTTGGCCATAGGCATTTGGGCTGGGCTCTTCCGCACTCAGGTGCATGCAGTGCATGCTGTCTGTGGCTGTCCCCTTACCTCTGTTTCCGATGACTTAGCTCTGCTAAGATTTTTGCAGGCCACAGGAATAGAGAGCACTAAAGAGAGGGGTGTGAGGTCCCTGTCCTCCATGTGGAAGCCTAGGGTGTGTACAGCTTGTGCTTTAGGGAACCTGGGACCTGGAGTCAGACTGGAAGACCTCAGGACCCAACAGATGGGAACTGCCCAATCATGTCACTGACAGATGTGGATACTATGCCTGTCTGATCATGTAGGAGATTAAGGGATGGGGGTGGGCTGTTCTAGGTTATCTATGTCATGGTGTTTTCATCCAAAGCCTTCCCTGCCTTCTCTGGTTCTTATGTATCTTCTGACTTTTCTACATTCCCAATATGTCAAAGGGGACGGTCCCACACAACCTGGGCTGTCTCCTCATCTGACTTGCTGTGGTTCCAATCAGCAGTTCTCAACCATGGGTGGTTTGCTAATACAGAGGACAAATGGAGACATTTTTGGTTGTCACAACTGGGGAAGGGGGTGCTATTGACCTGGGATGCTGGTTAATATTCCACAATGGACAGAATAGCCCCCGCACAAAAAAAAGAATTCCCCAGGCCCAAGTGTCAGTGATGCCAAGATGGAAAAAGCCTGTTCTAGGCTGTGAGCATCCAAGGTCAAGGGCTATGTGTTCGCTTGTTCTGCAACCACGAGCTACTTGATGACACCAGTAGGTGAAGGGATTAAACAAAGAAAAAAAAAACCCAGAAAGATTCATAGACACAGAGGACAGTATGGTGATTGCCAGAGGGAAGGGAAGGGGAGGTAGAAAAGGGTAAAGGGGGGTAAATTTCACAAAGGGAATAAGGGCGGATTGGTCCATTTACCAGGGAGCGTGTGTCTCCCAGCCCCAAGGCCTGCGGAATTCATTATAGTGGCCAAGCTCACCTTCTGAAGGATCTTCCACACCTTCTGGTAGAATCCCACAGGCACCCTGTTGATGGCCCCATCCAGCCTTCTCCTGCGCAGCCACTGGCCCTGTCGCTCCCCCCAGCCAATGTGATGCCCTCCTGAGTCTGACGATGATGTGCCAGTGGGCGAAGGTGGGGTGCTGGACCTCTGCAAGACAGTGCGTGGCCTTCAGAAGCCTCATAGCTGGCGCTGCAAGACAACTCGGTGAATCAAAACACCAGCTCACCACTTGCCCATGGAGTAGACTCTTTCCCACACCGGTTTGGTTAGTGAACCTGTTTGGTGCACAAGGACCCCAACCTGACAGGGAGGCCAAACAGCTGACAGTGTGGGCTCTGGGATCAGCTGCGAATCCCAGCTCAGCACTAGCTGTGGCAACTCCTGACCCAGACACTGGCTCCAGGTCTTGACCTCCTCTACACCTTGGGACACAGTTGGACTGTCCTGCAACACTCACTGAATGAAAATACACAAAACCCCATGAATACGCATGGCTAAGTGCCCACAGGGGCCCTTGGAGTAGGTGAGACCACCCACCCAGAGGTAATGCAGCCCAGGGAGACAAATGCCAAAGTGCCCACTTCTGCAGTGCCACAGAGAACTGATCACCTCCCTGTAACATGGGGTGAGAATGTGGTGTGTGGGGGAGGCTTTGGAGCCAAAACCAAAAAGAAAAGGCTAGGGATCCCCATTTAGTAGCGAGGACCCCAGGGAGTATTGTATGTGCATCTGTCCTTTTCAATCTGCTCTCAGCCTGCTCTCAGAACAGCGCTTTATCCTAATTTGGGGCAATGGCTGCCTCTGCGCCAGGAAGATATGCTTTGCTGAAGCAGAGGGAAAGGTGTCATATCCTGCCCACCTCCCTGCCTGAGGCTAGACTTATTCTGGCCTCTTCGAGGGATGTGCTGGGGCAGGGCCTGCCCATGACCTCAGAGGTGGCTCTGAGATGCTCCCATTGGGGATCCGGAGACCAGGCCTGAATGTGGTGACCCCCAGCAGCAGATGGGGTGAAGCCACACTGTGCTCCCTTCCCGCAAGCAAGGCTCTGGGCCTGCCTTCTTCTCATGGATGGATTCTAAGCACATGGTCTCCAGGTTGGAAAGGGTTAACCTACATCCTTGCCATTATCTTTGCTCTGGACTACCTGGCATTTTCACTTCTCAGGGCACAACATTAAATTGAAAGGTTTAAAAATGAAATCCAAATGTTAAGCATGCTACTAGGGCAGGAGGCAGGAGTGTTCTCTGTGGACTCATTCTGACTTCATGGGATCTTATTTTGAAAAGGCTGTTAGGCTGGGCTCTTCCATTGGGCTCATTACTGCAATTTAAATACGGCAACAATTAGATACAAATAAAAGTAATTACAGCCGCACTCATCAATGACTCAGCTGGTTTCCTCCTTTTCATTTCAGGACGAAGCTTAAGCCTCGCCTCAGCGATTCCCACACTTCCTAGTCCTCCACTTTATGTGAGGCCTCATGCCAAGCAGAGCATTCTGAGCACACAGTGCTAATGAGCACATGTGGACAATGGTTCCCCACCATGGCACCGGGGAGAGGTACAAAACCATTGCCTCCAAGGTTCCAGAAGCTCCTGGACAAACAAAGCTCACTTCAAGAACTTCTCAAAAAAAAGAACTGCTCGGCTTTCTAGACTCTATTCCTAATGACGGTCAAATGAAAACATTGAACGCTATTTAAATCTTCAGGAATGAGGGATGAGGTGGGGGGCATGAGAAGGTCAACAGGAGGATTAACACATCACAAACAAGGGGACAAGGGTCAGGACGCATGGTTTACCATAGACTTGAAGCAATGCGAGGTGCTGGATGAGGCCTGGCTCACAGAAAAGAGCTACAAGACAAAGAGAGTCCATTCAGTCACGTGACGTGATACCAAAGGATGCAAGCAGAAAGGAGGGACATAGAACAGTGTGGGAAATATCCTCAGAAAGAAGGTGCAGAGGATGCAGGTGGACAGACGATCTCATTCAGCACCAGGCAAACAGCCTTGGTCAGGCAGGCAGATCTGGGCTCTGAGCGGTGAACTTGGGGAATGCTCTTTCTCTCAGTATGAAATGGTACCACTCAGATGGGGAGGGTCCCTCATCAAGTTAGGACCCAATTTATTCCCAAAGTCACAGCCATGAAAAGCTCATCTTTTATGTTAAGAGTTGTGAAAATCTACAGAGAGCAACAAAATACCCAGAAAGAGCATTTAGCATCTGGCACCTACTGGCATTCAATAGATATTTGTTAAATGAACAGATAAAACCAGGCTGTATTTCCTCACCTAAACATCTAGAATGCACCCTTCATATTTCCTGTCATACACATGTGCACCCACGCGTGGTGTTCTTGCAAAAATGAACAGACATTTCAAATGCCATGGCAGCTATTAAATTTTGAATAGAGAAAATGTTTCCTTGATGGAAGTGGCCAAATACAAAACTTGTACTTGGCTGACTGACTCTAAAGCCATAAAAATAAATAAAAAAACACCCCACACACACAAAGGTGATCATTGTGTCCCCATAATATACGAGGACATTACATGGAGACAGAAGAAACCACACATATTCCCCAGGAAGGTGCCAGGGGGATGTGGGTAACTAGAGGGATGGTGCCACCGAGTGGCTGGCAAAAGGAACATGTTTTGGAAAGTCTTGGAAAGAGCATACATGTCAATGAGACAGCACAGTGTTTGTCATTATATGATTCCTGTATATTCTCTGTCATGGAGACATTAAATCATTAAAAAGGTGACTCCAATTTTCTGGAGGAAGGAGGAGGAAGCATGGTGATATAAAAGAACGGTTCCCTTACATTTTTTCCCGTTCAGGGTTAAATCCCCCCAGGCAATTTGGGAATAGGAATATGGTATACTTTCTACTGATATACTCAATGGCCACATTTTACTTTTTCCTATTTATTTCCCTTTTATTTAACAGACACCTCTGATGGAGCAAAGCCCAGAACCATCTCTTTCACAGAGTATCCTACAAAACCCAAGAGCTGAATAAATGGACTTTGCTTAAAGGCCGGAGCAAGGCCATGTCTCCTGCTTTCAAGTCCAGCACTCTGTCTGCCCCCAGGGCTGCCTGCCACATCTGTGGAGTTACCTCCACCCACTCCTGACCCTTCTCTAAACGTTCAGACTCTCTGTATTCATAGCCTTGCTTTCCACATTCGAGCCAGAAAGAACACGAAGCACGCACAGCAAAGGGCGAAACAAGACAAAGATGTTTCACCTGTCCATCGGTACTAAATCGCCTAGTCATCTGAAAGTAAAAATACATCAGGAATTAAATATTTGGAATCAAGGGTGCCCTGCTACTTCTATCACCCTCTAGACAACCCAGGGAAGTTCTGTCCCGAATGCGGGGTAAATGACCCATTATTGTCACCTGGACTCTATCTAGTGGGTCATCATTTAAAGTGCAGAAGAAAACCCGAGTGCATTTCATGGTCAGAAGGACACTATTTTCTACTGTAGATCATGGTCACGTCCTAGCACAGCACCAGCACATTAAGACTGAAAAGCTGTTGACTGGTCATTCTGTGAGGTCAGTCCAGAAGGAATTTATTGTGGATTAAATAAAGGTGAGCAAAGAAAACAGACGCTTGTGACTGGTGGAAAATACAGGTATCACCAGCATTCCATTCTATTTCTAGATCCCTCTGGGTATTTCATTTGAAGGGTGCGTTTGATGGAGAGATGATGCAGTTACTTTTTCCACATCTCTATTTTTTGAGTGGCTTTGGCCCACTCAAAAGAGCGAGTCTCAGCAACCGAGGCAAACATGGAGAAGGGTGTTTTCTGGAATGTTCACGTAACATATGAAAGTTAAGGGTGAGCATGTGTGAGAAGCTCTGGGATATCTGGGTACGGGGTATATTCAGATTCCAGGAGAGAAGGAATCTCATCCTCTCAAAGAGCAGGCTGCACCCTACTTGCCCTGGGTTTCTATTATTTTCCGAAATGAGCCCACGTAGGAAAACCACTTCTCTCCTGGCACTGTCGCAAGCTCTTCTTACCTGTTTCATCTCACTTCTTAGCCTGCTGATGCCACTCCTCTCAGTTTTGGTGACTCCTGTATGTCCCACCTCATGGATAGAGATGGCAGGGCTGGATGTACAAGAATGGATAGGTCGCACTGGAGGGGAAACACACATGGTTCTTAGAAACTATATAGCATTCACGCTGAGTAAGGAATATGTGCAATGTACTTATTTGTATCCACATCTCTCTCCCCCACTACTTGACTATAAACTCCATCAAAGAGACTTCATCTGCCCTCCTGGCTCAATATGTGTTCAAGTGAGTGGGTGAGAGTGAACATCACATAAGCAGTATGCAGAAAGCACTGGTTGGTCATAATATCCTTCATGAATTGGATATTTTATTTATTCTTATTTTTTATTTTTTAATATATTTTATTGATTTTTTTACAGAGAGGAAGGGAGAGAGCTAGAGGGCTAGAAACATCGATGAGAGAGAAGCATCTACCAGCTGCCTCCGGCACCCCAACCCCTCCCACTGGGGTTGTGCCCGCAACCAAGGTACATGCCCTTGACTGGAATTGAACCTGGGAACTTTCAGTCCACAGGCTGATGCTCTATCCACTGAGCAAAACCGGTTTCGGCATGAATTGGACATTTTAAAAGTAACTTCTTTACTTCTCTAAAAGCACACCTTCCTTGTAGAAAACAGACCACCCATTTAAGGGGCCTTTGGGCTGGAGAGGGAAGTCTTGGGAGAACAAGCCAAACCAAGGGCTGTTGGGAGCCATCAGAGTTGAGACAAGCAACTCCGTCTTAAGAAAATACAACTCCATCTTAGAATTAAGTTTCTTCTAGCAGAAGTTATGCGGTGCCCTGCGGGTTTGGCCAGAAGCTAAAGATTAACCTGCCGCTTAGCACATCTTGCTCCGGGAGGATCTTTGCAACATCCCCTTCCTGATCCTCCCCCATAGCTAGCCGGGCCTTGGAATGTTACACCTTGGAATGTCACACCGCCCTGACAGTTAGCCTATCCTGTGTTGCCAGATACCTTACCACCTTGTCACTCAGTGCCTAAACCAACTATACACTGTCAAAGACCCCGCTGCATAGGCAACCCTGCCCCCCTTTGTTCCTGCTGTATATATACTGCCATTTCAAAAATAAAGTTTGAGGCTTGATCAGAACTTTGTCTTGCCTCCATTTCTCCGTGCCCCTGTCCCTTCTTTTCATCCTCCACAGGTCCTCCCTCTCCCCACGTTGCTGTGCCCCGTGGGTCGGGGCAAAGGGCTAGAGGCAGAGATTCGGCCGGCATAGCCTCTTTTCTGCAGGCCCAGTTCAAAGGTCTCTTCCTTAGGCAGCATTCCCTGCACGCCCAGCCTTCCCAACAAACTTACCACTGAAGCCATGCAGTGGAGGGCACTGCCCAGGGGAGTAGAGGCAACCAAGGAGCCAGGTGCACCAACATTTAAAGGACAGCAGAGAGGAAGGGACCCACAAAGGAAACAATGATTAGCTGGAGAGGGAGGAGGGACATGAGGAAAGAAACCAAAAGGGTCTGGGAAGCTCCAGTGGGACCTGTATGGGGTGAGCATCAGCTGGAAATACTTCACTCAGACATCTCAGGACTGAATCAAAATCCTAAGACCATTTGAGTTTTGTCATTTATAAAAACTGAGCCATTAAAAAGTACAATTAACCAATGATGTTAGAAAAGGACAGGGCCTCTTCTGGCCTTGCTTGCAATTAGACATATTTATGACATTACTCGGTGCCTAGTTTTGTAAGCATCCATAGTTTTATATCCGATAACAAAATTTTCCTAATTATCTGTGTCAAAGCATGTATATTATTTTGATGAGCCGAACACATTCAATATTTATCTTGTACATTTACATTTCAAGGATCAGGCGTTGAAAGAACGGAAAATTACTTTTGGAAAAGCATCTCGAGCATGCCTTCTTCAGGAAAGGAGAAAAGCCACCAAAACCCCATCCGAAAGCACAATGTGGTCTTTGTTAGCTGGCTGGCGCGCACTCTGGGGGGAAATATTAAGTACCCAATGTCCTTCTTATTAAATAGAAAGAATGACAACCCACGCTGCATTTCTTTGGCTTGATTAAATAAATTCACAAATGTGTCTGCAAATCATTTCGCTCTATTATGAGGAGAAATGATAATTGCTTCAATTACAATTAGAGAGCATTTGAGAACAGTATTCCACCAGGACTTGGGTGATTATATTTCCTAACACTGCAAACAGGGTGTGGGGATAGATAAAAATGGAACGGGCCGTCCGGGGAGGAATCAAAGTCACTCAGCAAGAAGGCATTGTGAGGTTGCAAAGGGGTCTTCTCTGAGCCCCATAGAGGGGACTAGGATCTGCTTGAGGACACTTCTTCTTTTTTTTTTTTTTTAGTATATTTTATTGATTTTTTACAGAGAGGAAGAGAGAGGGATAGAGAGTTAGAAACATCGATGAGAGAGAATAATCAATCAGCTGCCTCTTGCACCACCCCTACTGGGGATGTGCCCACAACCAAGGTACATTCCTCTGACCAGAATTGAACCTGGGACCTTTCAGTCCTCAGGCTGATGCTCAATCCATTGAGCCAAACCAGTTTCGGTTGCTTGAGGACACTTCTGTCCAAACCAAAGGTGGGGCCCTCAGGCGTTCAGAAAAGACAGGCATTTCACCCTGATTAACTCACCCCTCCTAACACGTGTGCACAGTGACAGTACATGGACCTGACAGGAGGAGGAAGGCAGCAGACCAAGGTGCAGAGGTGTGTTCACCACATCCGTGCGGGACCAGGGCCGTCCCAGCAAGCCTACGAGGGTCACTAAGCCCGACAAGCCGGGACCTTGTCCCTGGGACTTTGTCCATCTCGGTAAAGTAGGAACATTACCCTTATGCATTATGCCCTACATTGCAATTACTGATGTCAGGTTGTATATCAATGAAGCCATTTCAGGCAATGCTGAATGCATCCATCAGGCCCTCTCTGCTCTCCTCCCCACAGAGGTAAGATGAGCATTTACTTACTGCTTCTCTCAACGCCAAATTCCTTTCCACTTAGAATATGATGCAGGAGATTTTTCATATCAAAAGGGCTGAGGTTCATTAAACTTTCAGAAGCTTCTTCTCCTAAAAACAAACATTTGGTAAGTATCTCGGACACAAGGCTGGTGGTAAGTGAAGGCAGAGTTGGTTGGGCCTTGGGGTGACAAAGGATGCTGTGGCAGCTTTCCCTACTCAGGATTACCTCTCTACTGCTGGAGGGCTGAAATGTACTGCTCCTTGGTGATTCTAAATGCTGCTGTTTAAGTTATGTATTTTCCTGTCACAGGCATATTTTCACACTGTAATGATCCTGCTATTAGAATGTGTCTTGCGATTCATTCACAGATTTCAGTTGGTAGGATTTGTCCCAGCAGAGGTGTTATTAAATAGGTGATGACCTCACTGCAAGGAGCTACAGTGAGGAACTCAGATGTCAGGAGCAGGACAGAAGATTCTAATGCCTCTTTCCCTGACAAGAAATTCAACAGGATGGCCTGGTGGAAGTTCCGTCTAAACTAGAGAACCAGGTGAAGCAATAGCATGTGCAAAGGCACAAAAGTTTGGGTTCCAGAGTGCTTGCGCGGGGTTCCCCTGGACTGACCACAGGAGCCTCCCGAGGGCCCGCCCACTCTTTGTACCTGAACAGTTCAGGCTCCTCGCCAGCTCCGTGGCCATCACCTGAATGATCAGTCCGACCCGGAGCCGGAGCATCTCCACGAAGAGGCTGGGCTGAGCCCGGACGTACATGGCCAAGTAGACCACAATCTCCTGCCACAGACACACATGGACACGGCGTTTCAGAAAGCAGGTGGTGGCGGAGGCCTGGAGAAGGCTGCAGCCCTGCCCATCCCCCCTCCTCCAGCCAGCGGACCTGTGTGAGGACAGCGATACTAATGTCCTGCCCGCTGGCTTCATAGATGAGTTTTGTGAGCTCCTCCGGGGGAAGAGGCCTAGGAAAGAGTGTCAAGACACAAACACCGTGAAAGATACCTAAGAGGTGTCTCCTCGCCCTCTGTGGAAGGCCCTTATTTTCCTGCTAGGAGCTCCAGAGTGACGGTGTCTTTAAGGAGACCCTCTTTCTGAGTGGCGGATGGCACTGATGTTTTACCGTGGCCCCCACAAACCCAAGGCCCCCAGGCTGAAGACTTACGCAGAGATGATCTTCTCCCGAGGCTCTGGCGGCAGGCCCACTGTGAGCTGCGTCTGGTGGGACAGCAGGTCTGTGCAGGCCTACTCATTGAGGGAAATGGGTGAGGGAGGAAGGGAGTAAGGAAGAGAGGGAGAGGAGGAAGTGAGCAAATTCAAAGGGGAAGGGTATACTAACAAGATCATAACTTTTTGCCTTTACAAAATGTATGACACATGTTGCCATTTATTTGAAAAATTCACTCCTAGATCCCAGACTGAGCAACCCAGGCAGGGCTGCATCCCTGTGACCTTTCTGTGACCTTTGTGCTCCCAATATGTGGCCCCAGGCTGGCTCTGCAGGCCCTGTTGGTGGATATTTAACGCCCAGCTACTGCAGCCAATACATTGGATTCACTGATATGCTACAAGGGGTTGGGCCATTGTGAGTCCTGAAATACCAATGTGAAGAGTTAATGACCATATTATAGCCTTAAATTGTCAGTTTCCCCATCATTCACATATAATAAACGCCACCTCCCTACCATATCACTGAACTGTAATGTCTTAGAAAGCAGTTCTGGATTTTGCAGGGCCAGAAGGTTAAAGAGATTAATGATGATTATAGCGTGGTTGTACAGAAATAAGAGAGCTCTGTTTAAGAGGATGCCAGGCCACAGAGCATTTTTGTTTTACTTCTCGGCAAACCTCTTTCTGCAGCTAAGAAGGAACAAAATGAATCAACTTCCATTTCATTTCCTCTGCTCGCCTTCCAAGAAGCAGTGGGAGATCGGGAGAGGAGAGCCCACTCCACCCGTATATTAAATAACTTGTTTCCTTTACAAATAAGAGGTGCTTGCCTCAAGCTTTCAAAAAAAAAAAAAAAAAAAGGGAAGAGGGCATGGGGCTAGAAAAGACAGACCAACAGCCAGCGCAGTGGCTCTGACCTCGGCCAGGACCTCCACTTTCTTCCTGAGCAGGCCAGAGATGTAGCGGATCAAACCCCACTCCTGGTTCAGGCCAGCTTTCCCGTAGAGCTCACTGAGGAGGTTTTGAACTGTGACTCCATGCTGTCCGGAGAGATTTGTGTCCCAGCTGGGGCCCCTGTTGAGAGAAAACCCTAGAAGTGTGGCCCACAACGTTTATGGTCCTCATTCTCTTGCAGCGGAGCTCCAGTGGCAGGGAGGGGGGATGAGTCACCGCACACTCTGCCAATGCTCGGGGCCCTCCTACTGCCTCAAAGTCTCGGGATTGGGTTGAGTCTTACCAATGCATCCCTCTGTCCACTGGAAACAGAAGCCTAACATCGGGAAACAGTGAGATCCTGGCTTCACCTAGCCTCCTCATCCTGAGAAGCCAGCATGAATAGGCAGTAAAGGGGATAGAAGTCTGTTGGCAGTGATCCTGGGTAATTTGGGTAATATATTCATGACCCAGCTTGTTGGAAGGCCAAAAAGACCAAGACAGAATCAAGGAGATGGGGGAAAGCTCGGATTAGCAAAGACCAGAAACTTACTTTATCACATACAGAATGTACAGAATGTCTGCTTGGTCCTGTAGGTTTGAACAGTCTTTCAGCTGCTCGACCAGCTTCTCACAGTCCATATCGCCATGACCATCTCTGGGCCACTGGAAGTCACCTTCGGGGACCGGACCCTACGAAAACCAAAAAGCAGGGGAGAAGAACTGAGCATGCACACTTTCAGATCCGAAGTGACACATCAAGCTGGTCTTGGAACTCTGTCACCATACTCCAGGTTTTCAGTAAATCTTTTGTAGCTTTTTATGTATGTGTTTTGCTATTTTTGATCAGTGAATCACTGCATTAGTCAATGTTTGCAAGACACGGGACTGAACAGGTTAAAATATGGATGAGTTTTATTTATACCAAGTTCAAAAACAGCAAAACTAACCCCGGGTGTTAGAACTTATGCTATCCAAAGTTACCTTTGGAGTGGAGAGGTGGAAGCCACTGGAAAAGTACAAAGAGTGGTCATTTACCTGTGTCTACTGGTGTGGTGATAATTCAGTGAGCTTGTATACTTACACTCTGCACACTCTTCTATATATGTAATACTCAATAAATAATTTTTTTAAAAACAAATGCAAAAAGTATGTGAGTTTTAAACAACCTAAAACTGAGGTTAGGTTAAAATATTCTCCAATAGATACTGAATCTCTCTATTCATGTGGGATAAAATCAAAGGAGATTTCTGGGTAAAATAACAGATTATGGGAACCAGTGGGAAACACCCTGAGATTTATTCCCCTGAGGAGTCTTTTCTGATTTTGTACCCCATCCTGCATGTTGCCAGCCTTGGCTGGCTGGCACAGACAGGACAGGGCTAGGTAGTGAGCTAGCTTATTTCCTGCAGTGTAACATAGATTCTGATGAGTGGGAAAAAAGTCAGTAGCATTTTCATACATGCAGAAAATCAAAGTTTGCATCAAATTCAATGTGCATACTGACACAAAGCAGATTTTAGACAACTGAGTTGGTTCATATGGAAAAGCAGAACTTCTAATCCTAAAAGTTCTGAATATCAAGAAATATGCTTTCTTTTGAGTTCAACCATGTAAAAGATTTCTTGGGATTACACCAACATCAAGGAATATTACATTTGTTAGCAAAGTGATTCTAAATTTTACCTGTTTTAGGAGTGGATGAGGAGAATCAACAAGATTCAGCGATTTACGGTGTGTATTTAGAGCTTTAGTTGGCAAAGTCATAGGAACAACTGGAAAACCAAAGAATAAAGAGCATTCTTTTGAGGAGGAGGAAAGAGAAAATACTTCTTTGAAGAGGTACAGTAGTAGTTACTCCTCATTCAATACAAAACAATTTAAAAAAGTGATTACTTAATTAGTTTTACTTCAACAACAATTTATCATGTAGCTACATCATGTGCTGGAAACACATGAGCAGGACATTGATCTTGCTTTAAGGAGTAAAATTTCACTTTTGCCTCCTGGAATTCAGGGGGAAATTACATAGCGTTTTAGGACTGGACTGAGCCTTAGAAATGATTAAGCCCAATTTCTTTTTCTTTCAGATGAAAAAAACTGAGAATCAGAGAGGGTAGGTCATTTGTACAAGGTCACTGGTCTTCTCATAATCAAGGTGTCTGGGCTTCCTACAAAATATGTGTTTCACTTTGCCACTGCCAGGCATTAAGATATATGTTTTCCAACTACCTTTGGATGTTATCATTAAAGGTTTATTAAAAATAAATTTAAAATAGTGAAATGAAAAAATTCCTAGGTATGATTGACCTGGTGGAAATTTATATTAAGAGGCCATTGGAAAGTATAAAAAGGAAGCAAGGCAAATTAAAAGATAGGGCAACTATTAGCTTTAGAAAAAAAAGTAAAAAACAATATAATTATAGTATACTATAATGCTCAGTTGAGAATAATATTTGCATACAAACAATAAAATAAAGAGTGAGTATTGATTTAACTTAGTTTTAATACATCTATATCTGACTGCTAGGGAAAGTGAAGCAGAGGGAGAGGTGGTGATTTAAGACACCCAAAACCTCACCCCATAAGAGAAAGTCAACAGATACTGAATAAAGTCAATGCATCAAAAGACAGCAGTACATACACATTATTTTAGAATTAACTTAGAAATGTGGAGCTATATAAATGCCAGAAGAAATAAATAAGAGTTGAATGTGGTTGCCTCGAAGAAGGACTGGGGACAGTAGAGAGGGGAGGGGTGAGGGAGAAAACATCTGTATTTTGTTGTCTCTCTGGAGTCTTTGACTTTGATTAAAAATGTATTTGAACAGGCAGAAAAGAGTTAATAACATACATGGAATTTCCAAACCCTTTGCTTTTGCCATCACGGAAAGTATATCCCGTGTGGAGTGGATAGCACTGAAAACATGGGTGTCTTCTGAAGTCTTCTTACGAAGAGAGGGCAGGTAGCATTTCAAGGATGTGCTCTGCAGGAGATTGTTGATATACTGGTCAAGTTCATCCTGGCTTTCTGCAATTGGACAGGCAAGCAAAAGAGCCAATGAAAACAAGCTACAGAAATATCCTAAAGGCATCATAGTGATTTTCCTCACACAGCACTAGGTAAATTTAGTGGAAGATATTTACACCCTTCTCCAAGTGAGGAGATTTATACATATAAAGCTACTGTTTGAAAAAAACAACTCTATCCTAGGAAAAGATAGTGTACATATGAGAGCATTACAACATGAACTGAATATGTAAGGCACCCTGAGGGCCAGCAGCTGACACCTGCTTTTTATTTTAATTTGTCATGAGTGAGCTAAGCGTTATGGAATCCCCAGCCCCAATCCCAAGTACTATCCCAAAGTAAAAAGCAGGTCACTTCAACCCCAAAACCTATTCAGTTTGAGAAATGTTATGCACGTAGGATTTCAGCTCTCATATCCAACCAAACCTAGATCATTCTGCCATTCCTTTGAAAATTCAAGCCCTGGGTTTTTGTCTTTAGAATACTGTATATTTTGTGAAGAGTCCTCATGCCTGAAACTCTTTGTCACTCTAGGTTTTAAAAAGCCCCGCTGTAGTTGAGGTTTTGAAAGTGGCATTGTATTCGTTTTAATGCCTACAAGTTTCCAAAGCCTTTTTTGTCAAGTTAATGAACAATCATTTTCTGTGTTTGTGTCTTAGGGCAATTCTACCACTATGCTAAGGTTTCATTAAGTTCAATGAACAGCCTGCAAAGGCATTCCTAGCTATACCTCGATTGTAAGACTCTTCGAAATATCCTCCCAAATCTGAATCGCTATCAGGACTGATGCTCCCTTCGTTGGAATCATCATCAAATAACTTTTCCTCACAGTCTGGATCCAGGAAGGTCAGATACGTGTAGAAAGACGTGGTGAGAAATTCCGAAAGGCTCCCTAATTTTACTCTGCCAAGGAGACACTATGTTAGAGATATAGGTGCACATGGACAAACTTCCACTAATGAATCATGGAAATACTTTTCAAGAATCAGATAGCACTTCTGCCAGGATCAATAAATATGTCGTTCTGCAGCAGTCAGCCAAGCAATTCAAATGAAAATTCAATAGCAAGAATAAAGTGGAAGTACACAGCATATTAACAGCCAAAATGAATCACGCTGATTTCTTATACCTGAGCCCAATACAAACAGAAATAAATTTTACTGAACCAACCAAAGTTTTACAAAACATACTGAACAAAAAAAGAAGAAAAAAACAAAAACATATTGAGCGAATCACTTTTAACCAGAACCAAACTTTTGGAGGTGTTTCCCCCCCCCCCCCCCCTCAGTGACTGGACCAGAACAAAACTATAAGAAATGATTCTCTGGTTGTACTTGTGCCATCATTTGAGTCCCTACCATGCAATGGGGTCACTCAGGGGCAGATGGCACGTCTCAGAGCCCAAGTTCTGTCTAGAACAGTGGTTCTCAACCTTTCTAATGCCGAGGCCCTTTAATACAGTTCCTCATGTTGTGGTGACCCCAACCATAAAATTATTTTCATTGCTATTTCATAACTAATTTTGCTACTATTATGAATCGTAATGTTAATATCTGTGTTTTCCAGCGGTCTTAGGCTCTACAGCAGCAGTTCTCAACCTGTGTGTTGTGACCCACAGGTTGAGAACCGCTAGCAGGGTCACCTAAGACCATCGGAAAACACAGAGATTTACATTACGATTCATAACAGTAGCAAAATTACAGTTATGAAGCAGCAACAAAAATAATTTTATGGTGGGGGTCACCACAGCATGAGGAACTGTATTAACGGGTCGCAGCATTAGGAAGGTTGAGAATCACTGGTCTAAAAGGAATGTGAGGGGTGGGCCAGCCCCAAACCAGAGTAAGTGCTCAGAGTGCCCTAGTGTATTACCAGGCTAGGAAAAGGTCCACTGAAAACTGAGAGATGGCTTTGCCAGTGTGGGATCCCGCTACAAAGGCACCACCCTCAGGTTCGGGGTATAGCGGGGTGTCCACACTACAAAAAGAAAACCTCTTCTGTGTGCTTCTTAAAAATGTTACATCTGGCCGGGACCGGTTTGGCTCAGTGGATAGAGCGTGGGCCTGCGGACTGAGGGGTCCCAGGTTCGATTCTGGTCAAGGGCATGTACATTGGTTGCGGGCACATCCCCAGTGGGGGGTATGCAAGAGGCAGCTGGTCGATGTTTCTCTCTCATTGACGTTTCTAACTCTCTGTCCCTCTCAATTCCTCTCTGTGTAAAATCAATAAAATATTTAAAAAAAAAGTTACATCTGGAGGCAGTAAGATGCCTTGGAGCTACTAGCATCAGATTATGACTTTAAGGAATAAATGAAAGCAGTGATGCAAATGAATTCATAGGTGGTTGAGCTTCAATGGGCAAATGGACTACATCATAAACAAGGCCTGCGGACAAGACTTCTCTTGATAAAGTAATAACTTTCCCCCCAGAGCCCTGGAGTCAGTTCAGGTGATGGTTTTGTCCTGAGGTTGGGGAATGGGACTGGTGAGGTAGACCAGGAAAAAAGACAATGGAAAGTTTCCCTCTGAGTAAGTTGAAAGATGTCAGGTCAAAGGTCGAAAGGCAGTCATTTGATAGCAAGCTACCCCAGTTGGTTCCAGGAAGTGGAGACCAGCATCTAGGGTGAGTTCAGCTTTTACAAGACCCTCAGCCACAAAGGAAAAAGCAAAATGAGATTCAGTTGTAACTGCTGTGGACGAAAAGGGACCACGTGCTAACTTGAAAAGCTCAGGGAAGGCCTGTGTGGCAACCTTGCAAATTCGGAGGAAGGTCTGAAATTAAAGCATTTGAACTAAAAGTTTATGTCAGGTAGTCCTGTCCTAGACTAGAATCTTGCCTAACAAAGGTCAATCTTTACCTTAACAGCCTGTCTATTGTCTTTTGCATCTATGATAACATACCTTTATAAAGTCAGGGTAACTTCCCCTTTTTTTCTGGCCCCTCTGGGCACAACCAATGCACCAGAGCAGATACTACACACCCTCTCATTGTTATTTTTATCATGTGGTTGATTAGTAACTATCCTGTACCCCATTTTACTTTTTACCCAGTCCCAGAGATTTCCCTCTTCTGCTTTCTCCTGCCTCCTTAATCTATTACCAATGAATTTCATATAACCCACTTACATCTTCTCTTTGGATTGTAATGCATAAAATAAGGTGCAAAACTGCCATTCTCTGGAGCTTTATCTCATGATGTTGAGATTTGGCTTCCTGGCAATTGCCATATTTCGGTTCAAATAAACTCCCAAAAATTCTTTACAGGTTTGAATGTTTCTTATGTTGAAAGAACTCAGTAGGAAAGGTAGGCATTCCTGTTTGGTTCCCTGGTTCTCTGAATCATTGTACTCTGTAAATGGGAGGTTCTCTCAATTCCTAGAAGCCTTCCGCCAGCTCCCCATGGGATTAGGGCCTGGTTTCTGGATTCACACAGAGCTTCTGCACCCATTTGTCTTGTGCGCTGGCTCTCTGAGGTGACTGCTCCTTCTTTCTAAAGTGGGAATACAGCCCATGTGACGAAGTGAAAATTAAATGTGGCAATGAGTACCAAGCGACAGAGAACACATTGCAAGTGCTCCATTAACTACAGCGTTCTTTTGACAATGATTATATTTCAATTAATATATAATTTTGAAAAACAGTTAATTATGGGCATATAGTATTTTCTCCCGGTTAAGATGCTGCACACCACGTGGTAACTTATTCAGACGGGAGGTAAAATGGATGAATGTGGGTGCCAACTGCAGGTATGGCACTAGTGCTGGAAATGTAGACGGCAAAATGTTGTGGACGGACTCACTGACACTCCTGAGAGAAGCCAGGAGCAGCTCAGAGTGAGAGTCCCTTCAAGTCTAGAGCAAAACTTGCAGTGGGTCTGTGAGCAGACGTACCAAGCCCAGCACAGTGACTCAACCTTGAAGACATCAGGCTGCGTGAAATGAGCCAGTCACAAAGACAGAAATACAGTGGTGCCTCGCATAAAGAACGCCTCGCACAGCGAACGCTGCACACAACGAACTTCATTTCATGATTCATACAATGAACTTCGTTTCACACAACGAAGTGGCCCGAGCTTCCAGGACCGCTTTGCCCCAGCTTCCACGACTGCTTCGCCCGAGCTTCTACGATCGCTGCCGATGTATTGCATCCTTCCGCGCAGGCACTGCAGGCAGTCGTTAGTCACTGCGCTTAACTTAAGCACGTATCGCGGCAATCGTTCTTCATTACGAATTAAATCACGCACGTATCACGGCAGTTGTCCTTTTAAGTTAAACTCAATATTTTTTTTATATAATTTTTTTTTTTAAAATTATGTTTTTAGATGTATCTAAATAAAAATAATAACAAAAAATTTATCTTTTTTATGTCATCTTAGCATATTTTATGCTACAGAACGAATTATTTTTTTTAACATGTATTGTTATGGGAAAACACGTTTCACATAACGAACTTTTCGCATAACAAACTTGCTCCTGGAACGAATTAAGTTCGTTGTGTGAGGCACCACTGTACTGGATGAGCCCACTTGCTACCAAGAGACCGGAAATAGAATGGTGGTTCCCAGGGGCTGGGGCAGGGGAAAAGGGAGAGCTGTTTAATGAGCACAGAAGTTCAGTTTTACAAGATGAAGAGTTCTAGAGGTTGGTTACATAACACTGTGGCCCATGCGCAGAAGTTGGTTTTTGGCTCTCAAAAGAAATTTCAATCGTTGTACTGTTGATATTTGGCTCTGTTGACTGATGAGTTTGCCGACCACTGGTCTAGGCATATTCAGGTGCTCTGCACTGAGGGCCGCTAAGGAATTTGTAAAGTTCTGTGAATCATTCTTCAGGTGATTGCACACTCAAGTCAATTCAAGAAGCATTTACTGAGCAACTACTAGATCTTAGGCACTTGGTCTTTTCTTTCATGTCTTTTACTAGAAACAGCACAGAATTCCATACATGCATTCCAGGAATGCCACTTCAGAGAATTGATATGTTTACCTCTTTTTGCCCCAGGCCTCCTGGTGTCCACAAAACCTTCACAAACACCCACTGAATGCTGCTTTAGAGATTATTTCAGTTTCACATGGGTCACTGGAGTCAATAAGTTTTAACTTCCTTCTTACCCAAAAGCACCACGCTTCTATGTTTAACAATTGACATGAAAAATGGGAGAAGGGAAGCAAAAGGACGTTAAGAAAGTTACTTTTTTTTTAAAAAAAAATCATAAATTACCTAGCTCCTCCAAAATATCCATCCTCTAGTTTTCTAATTGTAGAAAGAACTGCAGGATGAATGTCTGAGCCATCATTTGCTAAGGGGGAAAGAGGAAAAGATTAGTTAAGTTTACTTCATCTGGGAATTCTTTGTGGCAGGGAGAAGCATGCACTGAAATGTTTTCATCAACACAACCTAATTAAATACCTATGTCATAGAAGAGTCCTGAGCTAAGAGACTGAACTGCTGAAAAACCCCTTCAATACTTAGCTCTGTCCACAGGAGCCATTTTAAACACTGGGACAAGGGCCCAACCCAACAGTGGGATGTGATTCAGGCAGAGCAAGTTCATGGAGTTACTGAGCATGGTGTGGGAGATCGGGAAGGTGAGCGTGGGTCTGCCCGTCATCCGCCAGCAGGTGCACAAGTAAGCCAGCTCAATCCTCAGCATCTCCACGATCATCTCGTTGTCCAGGGCCAGATAGAAGTGATGCTGGTCGGTAAACTGCAAGTCAGAGCGGGCCCAGTAAGCGGTTGTCCTTCATTTCCCTCGACATGACCCCAGCTGTCATTCACGGCAGCGCTAATCCTCGTGCCATGTTTCCAGAGAAACAGCTCAATCCTGGTTATAATCCACCTATCAGGGGGCTCTCAGACAAATCGACCTGTCCCCTGCACGGGAGCTGTGGAAGGGAAAGTTGCACGGCTAAATCTATTTACAACTCCTCAGATGCGGACATAAGCACCAGGCCCAATATCACTGTCTCCTAAAGGAAATCAATAACTCCCTAATTCTTACTCCTCCAGGGCTGCTGGGCTCAGAGTTGCTTTCCAAGTGAGGGCACCGAGAGCAACCGAGATGTGGGAATTATGATTACCTGATGGATGGCCTGGCTAATGTGAACTAAAGGCACTGTGCCCTGATGTCGATGAAAATCAAATTGGTCTTCCGGCCTCTGGACCAGTCTATGCTCAGTTCATGCTCTGGTCTGCAATGTGTTGGGAACAGAAATAACTCACAAGATTGAAGTGAGCAGTGTGGGTTAGGGTGAAAAAGAGCAATGGGGCCACTGACCCCTGACTATGTGCCTAGGTAGCGGGGGCGCTGTGCTCCATGTTGACAAAGTGGTACCACAGTTGGTCTTTCTAGCTGCCCAAATGGATGGAAAACGTTTGGTTTGGGTTCCAGAGGACAAGTTTTTGTTTTGTTTTGTTTTTGAAACAAAAACTCTGAAAGTTCCATAATCAGTATATTCAGGATCCCATCAAGGGGGTTGGGGCCTGAAAATCAGATTGGCTGTGTGTTACAGAGGGTCTGAACACAACTTAAGCAAGGTGAGGGACTCTTGTCATTAGGGGCACAAGGGCTATGAGGCAAGTGATATGTTACTAGCAAATTTATAAAGTGGTGTGAATTTCACTACTAATGACTGGAAGTTATGACACACTCAATTTGATCCAAGGCACAATAATTGTGCACCTACTATGAGTAAAGAATTGTACTAGGGTAATAGGTGTCATCCTAAATGTCTCTATTTGAACATATAGGCATGCACATTCTACCACATTCAAAATGGCTCACCAGCCAGAAAAGAGAGCTTAATGAAAAGATGCTTGTTGGTTTCCTACTGGCATGCTCTTCTCACCTGAGGTGTGAAAGTAAATATTTGGTTCCTAATCACATAGAGTTTAGATGTTCCAAGGACGCCAATGTGCCTATATGGTCGCCCGCTCAATTTCATATTCTTATTGCGTCCTATTTGGAAAAAAAAGAGAAATGGTGTTAGAGTAAATACAGTAACATCTAATCCAACTGACTTCAGCAAAGACTGAACATATTTTTATGTCAAACAACCCATTGTGGGGTTTGATTTTTCTAACACCAGTACATCTTTAAATAGGATAAAGATGAGTTAAAAACAAGTCTCACCCCCTTTTCATGAATGTATATGAGTAGTACCTGATTCAACATCTATATAGAAGAAAACTGTTGCAAAAATTTAATTAATGTTTACTTCTAATTTACTAAAAAATGTCAGATTTTAGAAAAAGTAAAGAGAAACCCCTCCTATTTGAATGGGTAAATGACCATTTTTCTGAGACTCTAGATGAAAATTAAAACGTTATCAAGACATAAATGACTGTTCCAATTGTGAATTTTTCAAAGGTGGCTGCATATTTTACAACAGATTTGGCAAATCACATGGCCAACCTGTGGTGACATCTACTGAACCAGCATGAGGAGAACGTGCTTGTTTGCCCATTCTTCTTCACATGGAAGTGACCAAACCGCCTGCTATAGGGCTTTGCACAAAATTCTAAAGAATCTATACATATCACGGTCTCCCCCCAGATCCAAAGCCTAGAACAGAGATGCCTCCTTGCCAAACATGCCCTATTTTCCCAAACCTACCCAGCTTGGCGTATATGTGACTAAGGATCCGGCCTGGTTGGACTCGGATTGGGTGAATGTCAGCAATACTCTGGATGTCTATCCCATGCTTCCTCAACAAGTCCTTAATGTGGTTGTTTTCTGCCAGAACAGTCACTGCAAATGAAGAACACAAAATCTTCATTACATTGCGGCCATTGTCTCCTCACATGGATATATGTATCATTGACTGACCTCTTTTCTGGCCTGTGATACACACATTAGTATGCTCTCCATGAACTAGGTGTCTTTGAAAATGACAGCACATGTACTGCTGCTCTTCCTGATTCTCTCTGGCTTTGCCTCTTCTCAACACTCATGATGCATATTTCATGTACTTACAATGTACATGACAGTCTGATAAGAGACTTCTAAAAATGGTCTTCAACAGATACCATGTCAAATTACCCCATTTCATATGATGTCTTGCATTCCCCTGGATCTACATTTATTCTAAACCTGCCTGGTGTTCTTTTCACATGTGGTCAGGAATAGAGACAGATGCACATGGGAGTACCAGGAGAAACCTGTGCCCCTGCTCCCAAAGGACATAGCTTCCATGCTAGCACATGCCACCTGCATCACCACAAACATGTGAGTAATGTGTTCTGCTATGATGTTACAAATTAATATACACTAAAGCATACATATATCATACACACTTAAACAATAGAAAATCAGGGAACATTTGCATTAAAAATACATGTGTTTTCCCAGAAGTGGAATCGCGGGATCATAAGGCATTTCCATAGGAATCTATCCTAAGAATCCTAAAACAATGATTAGAAGGAATATATGCACCCCTATGTTCATGGCAGTGCTGTTTACAATAGCCAAGATTTTGATGCAACCTAAGTGCCCAACAGTAGGTGAGTGGATAAAAAAGCTGTTGGTACATTTACACAATGGAATATTAATTGGCTATAAAAAAGAAGGAAATCTTACCTTTTGGGACAGCATGGATGGACTGCGAGAGTATTATGCTAAGTGAAATAAGCCAGCCAGAGAAAGACAAGTAGCATATGATTTCACTTACATGTGGAATCTAATGAACAAAATAAACTAATAAACAATATAGAGACAGACTCATGGATACAAAGAACATACTGACAGCTGCCAGAGGGAAGGGGGGTTTTGGAGCTGGGTGAAAAAGGTAAAAGAATTGAAAAAAAAACACTCATAGACACAGACAACAGTATGGTGATTGCCAGAGGGAATGGGGGTTAAGGGGAAGTAAAAAAAGGGTAAAGGGGGGATAAATGGTGATGGATGGAGACTTGATTAGGGGTGCTAAATACACAATATAATGTGCAGATGATGTATTATAGAACTGTACACCTGAAACCTATATAATTTTATTAACCAATGTCACCCCAATAAATTCAATAAAAAAAATCAAGCAAAAAATACACATGGGTTTTACTAAGTTAAATAAAAATAGTAAACACGCTCACAAACCTTGTACCACAACATCAGGCTTAACAGAAGTGGAAAATCTTCTATTTAAGGGGTCAATTTCACCAGTGGCAAGGAATCCCTAGGGGGGAAAAAGGAGCATTAACACTATGAAATATCGATTAATCAAAATTTAACCTGAATTTGAAAATGACATATTTTGGGGCTCAAAATATTCAGTACTTATTCCCTTATATATTTCAAGTCTATTGCTTATTTTCTCTGAAACACATAGATCATTTAGATAGGCACTGATAAATGTGTTACGACTTCGGCACCTCACTCTCTACAGCTAGTCAAATATGCCACCATCTTATGTGAGTGAAGAGAACAATGGTAACGAATACTTCAGAGCAGCTGACTTTAAAGCCATGAAGATGCCAAAGACATTCACCACCATAGTGGACAGAGAGCCACTGTGCTCTTTCGGTTCCCCATCTGTGAAGCCCCCAAGTTGCCTACCTCTGCCAAGAGTGAGCTGAGGATGTACAAGGACTGACCCCACAGATGGGGCAGCTTCCCCAGAGGAACTCTGTCCACCGTGTGAGGATTCTTATACTCTTCGTCTACCTGGCAGAGAGAGAAAATCCTAAAGTCAGAATGTCAGAGGATAAAAAGGCCAGTGTCACCATACACTAGAGAGCACACTGAGGATTTATAAAATGCTACTCACTTGCTCCCCCAGGCCAATTCTGTGTGAGAGCCGGAATTGGGAGGCCAAGGAGGCTAAAGCTTTGTGCTGGTGGTAGTGGGTGGGAGGGGTGGTTCACACGTAAAGGCAGCAGAGGCAGAACTCATATCTGGGCCTGGCCCCAGGCCAGTGCTCTGCCCACAAGCACACTGATGGCAGAAGGCAGAGAGACAGACACTGGAAGCCTGGCCAGCCTTCTTTGAGCACAGCTCCAGGCAACAAGAAGTTGCACAGCTAATGCTTACATCTGGCTGTATTTTGGATACAATGATCTACAACATCAGCCTTCTTCTGCCCTAACCTGTGTGGCTCAGTGGATAGAGCGTCGGCCTGCGGACTGAAGGGTCCCAGGTTCGATTCTGGTCAAGGGCACATCCTCAGTAGGGGGTATGCAGGAGGCAGCTGATCAATGTTTCTCTCTCATCGATGTTTCTAACTCTTTATCCCTCTCCCTTCCTCTCTGTAAAAATCAATAAAATATATTACAAATAAAATAAAAATGGGTTGAGGCCTTTAAAAAATAAAATAAAATAAAGCATCAGCCTTCTGCCATGGCAGTGCATCACTGATGCTAAGTCTTCTTTGATCTTGCTATCCCCAGGAGTTCATAAACTGTATGCTTACACAAGAAAATTACCAGAAGGTGGCACTATTTATTGAGAAAAGAACAATTGTACTATTAGATCAGGAAGTTTTCATCAGGGATTCACAAAGCTGAATCCATTGGGGGCTCTTGACTCATCTAAATAAGTTACAGTTCTCTTTTTGATGGACAGTACTGGCTATGCACTCTAAGAGTTAGTCTACCACTTTCTCTGTTGTAAACTCCATGCTGACCTTTGGGTTTTTATTCAGTACAACGTTGGTTGGGAATAATGTCGGTGACCACTTTTTTCCTTCCAGAAAATATCAGTCGATCAAAGGAAGTAGACACATTTATCCTTCTCCAAAGGGGAAAATCACACTACGAGGGCAATCATTCTTTGTGTGTTAATCAGTGATGTTATTAATATACTTTGTAAAAATTTTAAAATTTGCTGTAGTAGCAAACATTAAGAAAACCTGAAGATCATACACTAAACAGAATTAAACATCACCAGCAATCAAATAATCAAATGGGATACTAGTATGAAATGAGATTCACCAAAATGTCACAGTGGTTATCTTTGGGTAGTAAGATTAGAGATAGGTGTTTACTTCTTTTGGCAGAATTCTGGATGTTTTGCAGTGTGCAGGATTATTTTTACAATCAGATTGTACGCTAAAGCTACTGAAATATAAGTAATGTCCAGAAAGACTGAAAAGATCTAGAATGAGAAATAGTCTATGCAAAGAACAGAAGGCAGGCAAGGTGTCCGGATCACAAGACAGCCTGGCTCTACCCTGTTGCCACCCACGGGCTGGCTACTGCCTCCCTCTAGTGGCATCTCCTCCCCCTTTCCCACCCCTTCTGATCTGCTTGCAAGTCTTTCAATGCATCAGGTCTTTGCCACCACCACTCCTATGTCTGTTCTCCATCCCCGGACTAGCTCCTCTGACCCCCCACTAGCCTGCAAGCTTGCAGAGGCAGAGCTGGCATTGCAACCCTTTTGTGCCCCAGAATCTAGTCTGGTACCAGGCCCGGAGCAGCTGCTTAATACGTATCTGCTGGGCACACTTGAATTAGTCTCAAGCTGTGCAATGGAGGACCCCATGGATGGTAGCCCTTTGTACAAGCATGTCTAGTTGAGGAAGAGTGAGGCTGACATCCAGGCTTGATGCCACTTTGGCCTGGGGCTGCAGCCACTTCAAGGATGAGGTCCTTTTTCTAATTTGCACAAAGGTGCCATATGGATCTGGGTGTCCCATCTGCAGTGGTTTCTACACGCCACTGCTGTGATGGGTGAACCTTCCCACATGTTCTCTGTAAGCAGCCTACACACACTGTGTTCAAATAGGTGCCTTGCTTAAATGTCAGTGCAAAGTTTAGAAGAAAGAAAAGCTGCAGAGTAATTTTTTACAACATGTAGCCAGCACTGTTCACACCTAGCATTTACTATAGTCATGAATACATGCCTTCTAGTAGAACACAGATGGATGGTTATTCTCTTCCATAAAATAGCTAAAATACCCATGAAGTCATTTATTTCCACTTGCTCTGCTTCCAGGATCCAAATGGCCTCCTATTACCAATTTTTGTTCTGCCAAGTGCCTCAGTATTGGAAATGGGAAACCTGAACACATTGCTGGGAAATAACTACCAAGGCCCGACTGTCAGCCCCTCACCAGCAACACATTCATATGAATACATTTGTAGGATGCCTAGGACTCTGACATAGTGAAAAGACCCCTTGTAGGCTCCATGGCCTGATCTGTGACTATAGTGAGGGACTCTCCATCACCTGGAAATGTACTACCCATTAGGAGGCACCTCCGGACTGGTCCCAGGTGGACCAGTGCTATCTGAGCACTAACAGGTTCCAGAGCCTCTTTGGGCAGAGACACACAATTCCAGAGGCCCTACAGTTCTCTGACCATGTGCTTGTGGGCTTGATTTAACCAGAGAACCCCTAAACCTAAGCTATGGCATGACAGCTTCTGCTGGATTATGATCGCCTGCTGTTCCTGTCAATTAGGGGGAATATGATGCTCTTTGAAGTCTCTACTTCCTGCAAATATAGAAATGAAGCAATAGGAACAGATGAAGGACAAACAGCCTGAATCAAGAATTCTTTCTTCTAAACATGACACACACATAGGGAAATCTTCCCATCAAGATCTATATAGGTCCATCATGGCCCAATATAGGAAACTGGATAGAACAGAACTATCTTTAGGCATCTTATTGATAATTTCTCTCTCCCTGATGTAGAATGTCTTCTAAGTGATTGCTTGAGCTTTAGCTCTGGAATGGCTTGATTCAAAGGAAGAGATTCTCAACTCTATCTACACATCTCTCCTCTTTCCCCAGGAAGATTCTGTCTGGTTTCTTCTTCTGTGGATATGCGTGAGGACATGGTGTACAACAGTGTTTTGTGCATTTGAAGGTTCATTTGGCTTTGGGCTCCGGTGAGGAATAGATATCATTGGAAGGTCCTCCATTGATGCCTCACTTATATTCCCCTTTGCAAGCAAGGCTCCAAAGCCATAACTTCTGTGATAGTTAGGAACACTGCTGAAGGCTTTACAAACCACTTCTCCTGGAGAAAAAGTGTTAGTTCTGGAAAGGGGGTGAAAAATATGAAAAGGCTTGCACTAAGTCACTTTGTTCTCGATAAGCAATGCCTGATTACCTTGTTAGGTGGGATGGCATAGAGTTCTGGCACCAGGTGGATCCCATTCTTGCCCCTGATTAATATTCCCTCCAGGGCCTCTCGGTATTCTTGGACCTGGAAAATAGTCCGATCCCCAATGGTATGAAAAAGGGGTCCTTAATGCTGTAACGTCAGTGTAACACAGAAAAACACCATTCTCGACAACAGATTAGAAGTAGGACACGGGTCCAGGAAATGCACAAATACCTTTAGCTCAAAGAGGGCAGGAGGAACCGGGACTCTTGCTGACAGCAAGTGTTAGGAGGAGCGAAACACAACTGGTCTTTTCTGTATGGCCTTTTTCTTCTTTCTCTGGGTGGTCTTTAACCCATGAGTTAAAAATTTCACTCTTAACTTCTCACATATTTAAATTTTGTCTTGCCCTGGCCAGCATGATTCAGTTGGTTAGAGCATTGTCCTGTGGAAGGTCACAGGTTTGATTCCCAGTCAGGGCACCTACCTAGGTTGAGGGTTCAATCCCTGGTCAGGGTGAGTAAAGGAGGCAACCGATAGATGTATCTCTCTCACATCAATGTTTGTTCCTCCCTCTCCCTATCTCCCTCTCTAAAAAAAATAAGTAAAAAATAATAAATAAATAAATAACTACAATTTGTCTCACCAGCTAGACTATAAGCTTCTTGGAGTGGAGGCTGGATCATAAGAAGTGCATCCCACTTCCACCTATAGGTTAGTTTTATACTACAAGGCCCTCATTCAAATATTCATTGCTCAAGAAACATTTGCTGAACAAGGAACTATATATACCATGATCGATGTACCCCTATTCTTAGGATGCTGTTGATGTAAACATTTTCATGAAATGAAAAAGGCAATGATAAAACTCTACATATTAAAAGGGAAGAGAAAAAAGGGAGGGGAAAAAACCTTTAACTAGCCACCTGCTATTTAAGACATTTCATCTTTGGAGAGCCCAGTCAAAGCATGACCAGGGGTGCATCCCTTTTTTAAATGTCATTGGGCAAAAAGTAGAAGAGATAGGGTAGGCATAAGTGTCGTAAATTTTATGAGACCTAGAAAACAAGGTACTAAGTACAGTCTTTTGTGTCCCCTTAGTCTTTGTTTGTTTCTGATCATTGTCAAGCTTATTCACAATGAAATTCTAACTCAATCTTTTTGAGATCTTTCAGTTCTGGGATAAAAAGAAATCATAAGATCCAAGATAATCACTACAGCATAAAAGTAAGAATAAACAATGGGAAATATCAACATTTCAAGCTTGCTATTGTTTCTGCACCAACAGCCCCCCCCCCCACAGCGTTCCTGAGCAGAGGCAGCTTTCAAAAACTAAAATAAATCTTATATTGTTCACCCCAACCTAGAACATATGATTCAAGCAGGTTATAAAAATGTCAGATCTGAAAAAGTTAAAAAAACAGCAAAACTTTGAGTGTATCAGTCATGTACATAAGCTTCATAAAGACAAATCTATTTTGCTCACCCAAGTATGCACAGCAGCAAATGCTAAAGAACCCTGTCTTGAACAAATGGATGCTGCATTAACAAATATTTACTGTGTACTTACTATGTCATAGGCACAGGGACTATGTTGGTGAACTGGATAGACCACCTCTAGCAAAGTCCTTTGACGGATAAGTGGAAGATTAAACATAATACCCCGCATCTCCTTACCTGAACAGCGTCACCACTGAAGACCCCATCAATTATGAAGTATGTCCAGAACACAGGCCATTCACATTCAATGTTTTCAAAGAGCTTGAGTTCTGCAGGGTCATAATGCAATCGGTTTGGGTCCTGTAATCAAGTAGGTAAACCTTCTAAAAGGTGATGTCATAGATACATAGATAATACCATTGCACCTTACTGGGTTTCCTTCGCTTGTTTGTTTCAATGCAGCTTGGAGGTTGGTATAACATAATTAGGATTCTGCTATAATGGGGAGATGCTGTTTTTGGCAGTTTTCTATGGTAAAATATCAGAAATGTACACAAGATTGCTTGGTAGTTTATTGTTTCCTATCTCTAACAAATAAATAGCAATTTATCTCTCACAGTGCTTGGCAGACTATTTTATTGATATTATTCTATCAGTCACTATGGCAAAGAAACCCAAGGAAGGGGCAACAGTTGGTATTTAAAAACCCACGTGAGCCACAGAACTGTTTGTCCTGTCTAAAAGCTGGTTTTAAACCACCAGCTTGCTGTCCTCCTAATGATTTTACTATTCTATTGTCTAACTCCAGGCTTGTAATACCAAAATTAAGACTTCTCTTTCCAATATTCTATCAAGTAACTATAATCAACAGAGGAAGAACACCACAGTGGCAACTTAGATATGAAGCAGTTAAGGAATCTTAGGAAACATTGTTTAAATACAACCTCTCTTAATAAATAAATAAATAAATAAATAAATAAATAAATAAATACAACCTCTCTTGGGGTTTTATAACCATCTCGAAGGAAGCGACAACATCCATAACGCCCCTAAGAAGAGAAAGAAAAACAAATGCATTTGAGGACATCAGAAGAATTTCTTTGCTTTTTGATTTTAACTCCAGTCAAGCCTCTGCCCCCTTTTCTCATGAATCTTGTAGTACTGAAATGTGTACCAAGTACTCTTTATCATCGATATAAAAAGTTATTTTTAGGTCCTACGTAAAGTAAATTCAGTTTGAAGAAAATTCCAAAATACTACAGTAAGCTATCAGAGGTGTGAGAATAATCACTGAGAGTTCAGTGAATGACCAGCCTTTCATTCTGATTTGTCATATTATGCAATGGTGCAAAGGGAACCTCACTGTGTGGAAAAGCCACCATTCAGATACCTGGATTGGACTGCTTCTACTTGAAAGACTGGAAAACTAAAGGGGCATTCGAGTCCTTGCAGATAGGTTCTATTCATAAAATTCATGTCTTCCACTGCAAGGAACTCTATAGCTCTCAAGACATTTTCAAAGGAGTCTGTGATTTCTAAAGGGTTAAGAAATTATGCCTTAACACAGGGCAGATCAGCACTAGGGTGACCACCGCTTACCTGGAGCTTCGAAATAATTTCATTTTTGGTCACATTCACAAGGTTCATATCTTCCACTGCAAAGGCCGGGAAAGAAATAATAGAAAGAAGTCCAGCATCAATCTCTTTAGACGTCGATGCTCTTGGCAGCATGGAGAACAGAATAGACTGAATGAAAAACAGAAGTGGCTTTAACCTGTGACATACTAATAATTATGTACAGTATCTAGAAATCATGACCTTTGCCCCAAAGGAATATTCAAGTGATTAGAGCTTTGTCCTACCAATATGACCCTGTTGGGCGACCTTGCCCACCCAATGCTTCCTGTTCCTTGGGGGGAGAATAAGGAGTTGGAGGGAGTGTGGTACTGCCTGGAGACCATGCTGAGAACTCCTTGTCTCCCTTCCTTCATGACTTCTGTTGACTTTGCTGGGCCTTCAGGACATACAGGGAAGGAACTAGGGGCTACCTTTGTCAGCAGGATAGGATGTCCTGATGGTGAAGAAAAAGAGAGAGAAGGACACACATACAGGGCCACTACAGAGAAATGTCTGGCTTCTATGGAATGTGGCCAGTTGGACTAGGTGACTGGGAAACCACTAAAAGAAAAAGGCAAATCCAGAAGACCACAAGAACACTCAGGCAAAATGGTAACAACAGTATTTAGTTCAGTCCTAGAGAGAATGGGTTACTTAGTAGCACTATAATATGACCTAAATTATAAGGTGGTTGGATTAGGCATTGTAAAATAAAGAAAGCTGAGATTATAAGGAAAAGTTTGGGAAGGGAAGAAGCTAATCCTGAGATTTAACATGTAAAGACATGGGGCTAGACCCTTGAAAAAATAAGCTTATTAAATCTTCCATATGAAGAAGGAATTCAGGTACTACATCCAATTCACACATGAGAACTCAAGACAAGTACAAAGACTCAGTCTGAAGAAATGCAGCCAGTATGTGACAGATCTAGGATTTCCACCCAGGACCAGCTGGGTACAAAGCTCACACAATTTCCATTAGACTATTTCATCTATTAAGATGCACACTAGGCCGAAGCTGGTTTGGCTCAGTGGATAAAGCGTTGGCCTGCGGACTGAAAGGTCCCAAGTTCGATTCGGGTCAAGGGCATGTACCTTGGTTGCGGGCACATCCCCAGTAGGGGGTGTGCAAGAGGCAGCTGATCAATGTCTCTCTATCATCGATGTTTCTAACTCTCTATCCCTCTCTCTTCCTCTCTGTAAAAAATCAATAAAATATATTTTTAAAAAAGAAAGATGCACACTAGTTTGACTCTATTAAACCATACTTCAAGAACCAAAGGACTTATGTACACACATATGAGCCTAACCAGTGATCAAGGACAATAGGGGGGTGGGAGCATGAGGGGAGTGGGGGATTGGAATGGGGGGTTGAAGACAAATAAGTGATACCTTAATCAATAAAGAAATTAATTTTAAAAATCAAAACAAAAGAAATTGCAGAATCCTCACTAACAAATATCTAATGGGGGGAAATGAGTGAGCCGGATAGTGGGATAAAAATGGGGGGTGAACCTTCAGCTTCAGAGTAAAACCTCATTTTTTATAACCAAGTGAACCCTTCCCCCATCCCGCCCCAAGTTTAGTTTTTAACTAGTTATTCTTTCCTAGGCTTTCTCTGCCTGGAAACATACACTCCCTCCAGAAGCTCTCTGCTTACAAGTTTTTATGTATCTGATTCTCATAGCCCTAGCACACAGTGGGCCCTCACTAAATAAGAGTTTGGTGATTGACTAATAGTTGGTGACCTACTATCTGCTTAATCTTGTCAAAATCGCTCCTTTTTCTGATTTTTATTTCATGAAGGTTCCACTTCTTTGCCATTTCTCCCATCTCATCTCTCCACCATTACCCATTCTGCCCATCTCCTCCTCGCTCCCCAAGAGAACTAGTGCTTGATAGTCATTCAATTTGGGAGCATCATGAAATAAACCTGAGAGAAAACCACCTATATGTTCAAAACAAATAAAACAGATTTTGTCTTCTGCAAAACAAGGTGTCTTGATTGCTGACTCCATATGTACATTGAGTGGCCAGATTATTATGATCTCTGAACACATAATAATCTGGCCACTCAGTGTATATCCTATATAATAAAAGGCTAATATGCAAATAGTCCCCTCGACCAGGAGTTCGACCAGCAGGCAGGCTGGCCAACCACCTATGTCCCCTCCCCCTGGCCAGGCTGGCTGGACCCCACCCATGCACAAATTCATGCACCAGGCCTCTAATATATGTATATATACACTGAGTGACCAGATTATTATGCGTTCAGAGATCATAATAATCTGGTCACTCAGTGTATATTATTGTTGTGTCTTATGTTTGTATGGTACTTTGGTACTTTCTGGCTTACAAAGTACTTTGACAAATTAAGTGGATTTACTCTTATCCTTAGGACCACCTTGTGCAGCAGGAGGGAAAGGGTCCAATATGCCCACTGTATGAATGAGGGAACTAAAGCTCAAAGAAGCCAAGTACCACCAAGCTAGAAAGGTAAGGAAAACTGGAGCCCATGTCTTCCCTCATGAGTCCAGCTCTCTGGAATATGAGAGGCTGTGCTGTTACCTGGCAGTGTTCAACCTCATCAGGCAGGACATGGATCACTGACTTGCGTCCTCCGTGGGCTCCAAAAAGATCCAGTTCATCAATTGCTTCAAGTGCTGCCTACAAACACAGGTCAGAATTACTTTTCCTTTCTAGTGAACATGCACTCCCATATCCAATACTCCTTTTTCATTAAGCAATCTAGGTATACACATTTCCCCAAAGGTGATGAAACATTATCTTTAAAATCCAGCCAAAGAGTCCTATGGTCATGTTCTATCCTTATTTTCAGTAGATCAGAGCTTTCCTAAATGTTGCAGCTCATTAAGGGAGCAAGCAGAGGAAAATAAAAATATTTCCTCAAATGAAATGATTATACAAAAATGAAATATTAACAAATTAATAATTGTGTGTGTGTGTGTGTGTGTGTGCACGCACATACACAGGGGGCACTATAATTCATGGTTGGCTTTTTTTCTTTCTTTTAAAAAAAATATATTTTATTGCTTTTTTTACAGAGAGGGAGAGAGAGAGCCAGGAATGTTGATGAGAGAGAAACACCAACCAGCCACCTCCTGCACACCCCCCACTGGAGATGTGCCCACAACCAACATATATGCCCTTGCCTGGAATCGAACCCGAGACCTTTCAGTACGCAGACTGACGCTCTACCACTGAGCCAAACCAGTTTTGGCTATGGTTGGCTTTTCTTTCTCCTATTTTAGTGATCAATTCCTGACAGCATATCTGGCACTTAAAAAGTTCTTTTTTTTTTTTTTTAGTACTATGTTGTTTGTCAGTTGACCTTAACAGAGCATATTTTTTACTCTTATTATTTATGTATTTATTTTTATTATGATTTTTGTTTCACTTGCAGTTTGCATTCAATATTATTCTTTATTAGCTTCAGGTGTACAGCATAGTGGTTAGAGAATCATATACTTTACAAAGTGTTTCCCCCGATATTTCCAGTACCCACCTGGCACCATACATAGTTATTATAATATCATTGACTATATTCCCAATGCTGTACTTTATATCCCCATGACTATTTTGTAACTACCAATCTACTTCTCAATCCCTTCACCTTTTTAACTCTCCTCCCAACCCCCTAGAATCTGGCAACCATCAGTCTGTTCTCTTAACAGAGCATATTTATTGTTGCTTTAACAATTCTGGCGCTGGAGTCTTTCCAAAAGTACACCTTGATATTGAAGAGGAGGAGAGGAAAGCATGCTAAATGTCTAGGACAAGAGATGAAAACTGGTAGCCTGCAGACTGAATGTGCCCCACAGGTGTATTCTGACCTAAGTATGTTTTTAAAATGATTTTGAACTGCAATACCTTTAGAGAATGTCCTCAGTATCCACAATACTCCTTGATATTTTTCTATCTGGCCAACTTCACATGTTTATATTTTACTTGCCTGGCCCTATAGACTTTTGAACTTGTAAACCCTGCCCTACAAAGTGGTCATGTTCTTCAGCCCTCTTTATGACCCAGAAAAGAAAACTGAAGATCTACATCCAGCTTCCTAGACAACAGTAAGAGTTTAGACCCGTGGGTGATAACAATACCCAATGAGGAAGGAGTGCCCTTATTTTCAAGCACATGCAGATTTCAGTGCAGGAAACCTACATTCTTTACCTATAATTTCAGTTGGCTGGGTACATGCACCACTTGAATTTCACACTTGCTGTTGACTTTTGAAAAAGATACTAATCAGATTAAGTTCATACTTCTAATGAGAACCAAGTCAAAGCAGTAAAAAACGCACAGAAGGAAGAACAAGGAGGATGAGCCGTCACCTTGGCCATTCCTACAGAGCTTGCATTCAATTCTGGAATGCCCTGATTAGTCTTATCGCCACGTTCCCACATTCCATAATCCTGCAGGAGAAAAAGACAGTAATCAGAGCAGGAAAAGAGGAACATGAGAAGTGCTACGGAAAAATGATTCCTTTATGTTACTGCAGGCATAATGGAACATGAATATCTCTTCTCCAAGACAACCAAATTCATGGTTTTACACACTCAGGCTGTGTTTTTCCTCGATTTCAGTTCATTTGACCTTTGTGCAGTTTTAGAAGTAAATACTCAGGTGGAACAAAAAATGCATGCAAAAGTACTCTCAATTTTCTTATTCCTAAAAATTATTAATTTGTAAGAAACTCTTGATTTGTAGAAAACAAAATATTTTATTTATCTTAAAATCAAATAAAATGCTGCCCCTCAATTTAGCTAATTCCTTTGAACTTATATTAAATTATAAGATGAAATAAAGAAACTTAAACAAATGGGTTAGAAATAGTTGAAGCCAACCAAACCATTTAAAATTATTTAATATCTTTTTCTAGCATTACTTCTTGGGGAAAGGAATACTTAGCAAGTAACAGGAGCCCAAGTCAAAACTAAGACACAGAATACTGAACTTTCTTGGTATCCTAAACTGGTTAATATGAATTGGCTCAGAACACTCTGTCCACATAGAGGACTTGATGCATGCATATCTAACTTTAATAATTCATACTTTCTATTAAGAAACCTAAGAACTGCATACTGTTTTTGAAATAATGCTCTGTGCACTATTGAAAGATTACAACCCAACAAGAACAGGACCAATGCCAGCATTTCAGTATTTATTATCTGGTCTCTAAAGATGAGCATTTTCAAAATGTGAAAATTTCAACTTAGACACACCAGAGTGACTTTAGACTCTTTGCCTTGTAGCTAGGACCTAGGACTCCTTCCTTCAGTATTCTTCACATCTGGGCCTTTCCACATTCCAACCCATCTTCACTTCAACTCAAAAATGGCTTTCATCACCACACTTCCTGCTTGACAAGCTATTTATATAACCCTAATGGGTCCTGTTCAAATCTCTCTCTCTAGATGGCCACACTTCCATTATTTGGCCTCTCCACCTCATCTAGCACACATACAAATTGACTATTTTCTACCACTGTCCAACACTCAACTTTTACCCTAAGTCTACTCCTTCACTCTGCTCCCTTTTTCCCCAAGTATCTTCCCAAATAGACACACTCAGAGCCTGTAACTGCTCATGCTATTTCCTTACTGCAAACACCCCTTTTCCTCCTTCTGTTTATCTAACTACAGTACTCATCCTCCAAGGTCCAACTAAAGTCCCACCTTTTACATTAAGATTTCTTGAGTTTCTTTAGACCCAGCTTTGTCAACCTTGGCACTATTGACATTTGGGGCCAGATCATTCTTTGTTGTGGGAACTGTCCTGTGTACTGTAGGATGCTCAGCATAGTCCCTGGACACCACCCTTCTATATGTAAGAGGCACCCTCCCCAATATTACAACCAAAAAATATTTCAAGACATTGCCCAATGTCCCTGCGAGGGGAAGATTGCCCCTGATTGAAAGTTACTGCTTTAGACCTGGGGGTAGTAAACTATAGCCCTTGGATCAAATTTAGTTGGTTACCCGCTTTTGTAAATAAAGTATATTTCAGACACAGCCATGCTCACGTGTTATATGTTGTGTATGGCTACTTTGGTGCTACCATGGCAGAGGTGAATTGCAGCAAAAGAGATCATAGGGACCATAAGGCTGAAAATATTTACTCTCTGGCCCTTTGCATATAATGTTTGCTGACCCTTGCTTAGTGTCTAAAGTTTAGACCATGGTGGCTTTCTTTTTCAAACCAAACTCTACACTTTCCTTATCACCCTTATAGTCAATCCTGGAGGAGCTGGGGTTTATGCACATTTGTACCTGCACTCACCTGGCCTGGGGCCCACATCTGGCTCTAGCCCCTCTACATGTGGTTTGCTTGGGGTGATCACCTTGGCATAGCAGCTCCCTTAATCTTGAGCCAGACCAGCCTATGTACATGCCACATGAACTCTGCAATTGTGTCCCAGGACAAAAATGTGCACTTTGTGTGTGGAGGTGACATAATTTTACACTTCCAATTATGCTAAATTTCTGGTCAGCTCCAAATAGCATGGCTCTCAGAGAACTATATGATTTTTTATTCTTTTTGACAACTGAAAATACTATTGGGGTTTATACTTACAGCAACTTTATATGCAGCTTCTATATAAAAAACAAGATTCTGTATGAAGGCAACTTCATCGAGGGTGAAAATAATACGTAAACCTAGTCAAGAAAAGCAAACAATGAAATTATGAGGTTATGCTATAAAGAGAGCTGCCCATTACAAATATCACACTAGGAAATGAATCCTTTTACCCCATTTTCCTTTTTTTAAAAAAAAACTTTTATTGATTGCTCAGAGAGGAAGAAAGAGGGAAAGAAAGATAGAAACATCGATGAGAGAGCGTCATTGATTGGCTGCCTCCTGCAAACCCCCTACTGGAGATCGGTCCCAAAACCTGGGCATGTGCCCTTGACAATAATCGAACCCAGGACCCTTCAGTCTGCAGGCTGACACTCTATTCACCGAGCCAAACTGGCTAGGGCCCCATTTTCATTTTTCTTACTAGAGCATCAAAAATTAAGTCTGAAATAAATTTTAACACTATGTCTAGTAGCAGAAAGAGGAAGGAAGGAAAGAAGGCAAGCCTATATCTGCTTTTGCGTGTGCCTACAAGCAGAAAGGGGAAGGTATGGGGCCTTCTGCACTCCTTGAATGGAATCTAACTAACGGAAGGAAACAAATAGATATGGGTCAAAGTTGGTATTGCAATATTAGTTATAACAGCAAAAAGGAAAAGAATAAAGGAATAGTTATATTAATTGTAGCATATTCACTGATAAAATCCGGGATAAGAAAACTTTAAGGGGGGAGGGGCATGACACTCTGCAGAGTTGAACTGTTGAAGGTAGATCTCATCTAGGTTGTTACCCAGTAACTAGGTGACAGTGACAGAAAGGAAGCTTTGGAATTAACTACAGAGATGCTAACAGAGCTGGCTCAATAGCCCTCATCCTGCGAGTGCTCAGGAGGCTGACTACTGGCATGTCACAGAGTCAGTGCTCATCTATATATATAAAAGCCTAAGCAACCAAATGACTGAATGACGGATCAACCGCTCACTATGATGCGCACTGACCACCAGGGATCAGATGCTCAACACAGGAGCTGCCCCCTCGTGGTCAGTGTGCTCCCACAGTGGGAGCACCGCTCAGCTGATAGAGGGGCGCAAGACCCTGGACTCACAGCTGGCAAGCGCAGCTTTAGTGGCTTAAGCCTCTCCTGCCTCCATGGCAGAGCAACCAAGTGCTGGTAGGTGCAGCGGTGCTGGTATGAACAGGAGTGGCGCAGCACCCAGCCTGGGTTCCTCCCCAGCTGCCAGCTGTTTCACACACCACTACATCCCTTGGGGGTGTCGGATTGCAAGAGGGTGCAGGCCAGGCTGAGGTACCCCACTGGTGCACAAATCTGTGAACCAGGCCTCTAAGAATATTATAAAGAAGCATGCTTTTTCTTTATATAAATAGCTTATTTTGAATACTGATCAATATCTGTCCCTCCCTACACCCTTCTGGATTGTCACTCCCTGTACAGTGGGCTCAAATGGCCTTGGCTCACCTGAAGCAGTCATCTGGGCCAGGAACAGGAGGAAGAGGGAGGTGGCATCCACCTGAAGGTGGCCCCATTGGTCATCACCCACCACGGTGCTGCAGGTGGCGGTGTTGTACTTGGCGTGCAGGCTGTCCTTGGTACTCTGAGTGTGCTTGAACTTCTCCACTTTATCCACCTGAGGGAGAAGGCAAGTTAGCTCTGCATAGCTAAGAGGTTCATGGCTGGCAAAGGCCACACCTAGGTTCAATCTCTTGGATGCAGACCTCTTATCTGCTACCTCTGGGAGCCAAAGAGTAGTAAAATGGGACTTTCACTAGTGAGCACCACACAGAGGGACTGTGTGGGGGATTCTTTTTGCCCATCGTTAGGAATGTCCAGCCCAGTAGGATTTTAACTAGTTCTGCAGGGGCAAAGAGTCAAGACAAGGGGTTTCCATGCCTGTGTATACCCAGCATGAACCTTAACACATGGTAGGCACTCAATGAGAGAAGGAGGAAAAGAGGGTGAGAATGATATAGGAAGAGGGCCTGTTATGTTGATAGAAAAAGAATAACTGTCTTTGAAGACTAGCAGGCACATGCTGATTAAAGGTGGGGTCAGTGTGGTAGTCATCTTTATATCTGTTGCAGATCCTAATATGATGCTCTGTATACAGTATGTGCTCAACAAGTTGTCTTATTTAACCCTTACAGAAAATACCAGTAAATAGTAATGTCAAGTTTTAGAAACTCAAGCATTTCAACTCAAAAGAAACCCTTTTACAAACTCAACAGAATAAACAGTAGTACATGGCTTTCTAGGAGTGGCTTTTAAAAACAATGTTTTCTTCCCCATTTATTAAAAAAAAGATATGTTCTCCTTTCACACAAGCAACACTTCAAAAGAGATTCTGAGATACAGCATCCTTTGAGTCTCTGAGCCAGAGAGTGTAATACAAACATCGAAGATAATTTTAAAGAAAAAAAGTAAGCAAAATGTTTTTAATTTCTCATCTTGAAAAGTTCAAAACGCTTTAAGAATGTTAGTTGTTATCATGAAAATGACGAAATGCCCACTCAGATGACTCACAAACACATTTGTCGTTTTCCACCTACCTGTCTCATCATGCACTGCAGAAGACCCCGCATGAGTTTCACCACATTCTGTAGAGAGAAAGTGGGACCAGTAACAAGACCAGCTTCCCTGCTCCATGACAACCTCACCACCTAGCCAGTAAGCCAACACTGCCTGCAGACTTCCCTGAGAAGGCAGATCCTGAGTGTATACAAGTATTCTGATTGTCTAGTTATTTCCACCTCTCCACTCCATCGCAAAGAAAGAAAATTCTGACAAAGTGACTTATCTCAAAGGAAGGAGTTGGACCAGATGGCATCTCCCAGCTCTGAAATCTAGTGACTCCTCACTGATATTTTAGCAAGCAATTGTATAAGCCTAGTACCCTGGAGCTTTATGGCACAATTCTTAGTAATTTATTTTTGTTATGCAAGGATGAATTAAGTCCACCATCCCTTCCCAAGTAATACAGCTCTGTGCCAAAATAGCCATTTGTGACACCATTACTGAACTGTTGAGTAAAGTTCTTACAAAATGCAAGTAGCTGCCAAGGTTTCTTAATAATATGTATTGTAACCAATTATTATAATTTTTATTATTATCATAAATAGAAATAGTACTTTGATAATCAGATACTATGTCCAGGCATGGTACAAAACACTTTACCTGGTTCTCTAATTCTTCCAACAATCTTTTGAGGTAGGTATTATTATTACCTCACTTTATAGATGAGGAACCAGAGGCTGAGAGAGGTGAGGTAACATTGCTAAAGTTTCCCAGTGGATAGAGCAAGGACAGAGTCCAGGCCATCTGATTCCAGAGTTTGAGTTCTGAATCAATACATTATGTGACCTCTCATTTCCTTTACAATTCATGTATTAAATGTGAATGTTGAAAGACTGATCTTATTATGTTCTATGTGTTATTAATCCTCACCTGAGGATATTTTTTTTCCATTGATTTCTTTAGAGAGAGTGGAAGTGGGGGGGGGGGGGGAGGAAGAAACGTTGATATGAGAGGGACACATCAACTGGTTGCCTCCAGCACATGCCCCAACCATGCTGGGGATGGAACATGAAACTGAGGTTCATGCCCTTGACTGGAATTGAACCTAGGACTGCTTCACAAGTGACTGGAGAACAGGATTGCTCAAAGTTGCCTGGCTGAAAGAAGCTCACCCAGGGCCATGAGCATCTCCTCTCTTACAGAATGTGCATGGTATGCAGTGGAGGATGTAGTTAAGGGTCGTGAAAACTGAAAACACCTCCTGTGCTTAAGGATAGATTATTTTCTGACATATTCAATGATGCTATATTTTTTCTTTGGTGGGTATCTTAGATTCTGATTTTGGAAAACAATAATAGGACTCCATTGAGCTATATGGCAAATAAGCACAAAAATTGAATAATATCAACATGGGAAATTCCAAACATGTTTTAAATGGTGGCAATACTGTTTGGATGAGAATCCTTTCAACATAACTACTTGAAAGGTGTTTGGAATGTGTAGTTCTGGTGTACTGACTTTTAAAAAAACAATCATATTAGTTTATATAACCTCATATATAACTAGTAGAGGCCCAGTGCATAAAATTTGTGCATGGGTAGTGTTCCCTAGGCCTGGCCAGTGATCAGGGCCGATTGGGGCCTTCTGGCTGCCAGCCGGGGCCTTCCTTCTGTGCCATTCCCTGGTCAGAACACCCAAGGGGACACTTTGCATATTAGCTTTTTATATATATAGAAATATAAAATTGACAGAACGTAAGTGTGAGAAATAGCTAGTTGGAAATTTTAATGCTTTATTTTCCAATTCATTGTGATTATTTCTTGGAAGGAAAAAATCTCAAAGGGAAAAACAAATGAGAAATTGAGGCCACTTAAGTGCTTCCCCAAAACATTCTATAGCAGAAATGGAGCCAACATCTACACCAAACTGTTCTGTACACACAGCTACTTCCTTGTAGGCTTTTCAGTTTAAGGAAGAGGTGCTGCACGGCCAAGACATGGCTGCCAATCAGCATTACCTGCTCCAACTCATAGGCTTTGGCCTTGTCCTCATCACGGTCGGCATTCTTGCGGTAGGCCATGCCCAGGCCCCACACGGCCAGGATGCTGTAGATATTATCTCGCACCCAGGCATCCTTCTGTTCATGACTGGCAGACAGCAGCCCCGTGATGGGATTCTATTAAAAAAAAAAAAAAAAGAGACACAAAATGATTCAACAACACCCTTTACCCAGCTCCTGGACAAGGAATACTTGTCTTCAGACACCACAACAAGGGTCAGGATTACAAGTGAAGAGATAGGAGTTTCAGTTCTTGCTCTGCCACCAGCAGTGTGATCATGGGCGAGAAGTGACATCACTAAGAAGATCTCTAAGGAATATTGTCACTTTGAAGTTCTTGTACTTTTGCTTTCAGACCAGATCACACTATTGGAAATGACAAACAGAAAAAGCCTACAAGAATTTTATAAATATGTGCACTTTGGGCTTTAGGTCTTCTTCTGCCTTCATGTATCCACACAAATTGGTACAGCATTGTCACCAATGTGTACAGAAATGCCAAGCCATGCAATGCCATTGCTAAGTGATAGTCACCTCTTTTATTCTTTAGCTTGGGCTTAACTGTTGAAGTGGAGGTGGACCCTACTGAAGAAAAAAAAGAGATGGAGTGAAGGAGTGGGTCTTAGCTGCCCAATCTGTAACCCAGACATTTCCTGTACCTAAAAAGAGGTGCTGAGCAAGAGGACACTAGGAGTGCTATTCAGCTATTATATAACCAGTATTTTAAAGACCAGATGAGTCACTAAAAAGCCAGACCTTCACACATAAAAAAGTATATACAATGTTTATAACAGCATTATGTGTAATAGCCCCAAGAAAGCAACAACCCAAATGTCCATCAACTGATGGATAAACAAAATGTGGTCTATACAAATAATGGAATATTATTAAGCAACAAGAAGAAATGAAGTACTGACACATGCTACAACATGGATGAACCTTGAAGATATGATGCTAAGTGAAAGAAGCCTGTCACAAAGGACTATATATTGTAAGATCTCATTTATGTGAACTGTCCAGAATAGGCAAATCCATTGAGATATAAAGTAGATTAGTAGTTTTCTAGGGTTGAAGGTAGGAGTGAAGTGAGAAAAATGGGAAGCAAGTGATGGATGGCATGTATTTTCCCCTTTCTCTGGGTTATGAAAATATTCTGAAGTTGATTGTAGTTAATGTATTAAAACTATTAAATGGTATACTTTAAAGACATGAATTATATAAGTAAATTATATCTCAATAAAGCTACTGCTTTTTAAAAAGCCAGGCCTAATAAACTCTGTACCTAGAAATAAAATAGACAAGAGGAATCATAGAAGCCTCTGTTGACTTTTCCTGAAAATATGCGAAGAAATATGCATCTAATAAAATACATTATAACAATCGGAGCCTTGCCAGTTTAAAAAAGGGCACCAAATTATTTATAAGAAAGCTCACCAAAAAACTCTCTTGGGTACTTTCCAAGTGATACTGCCAAGGTTATTAGGTAAAGAAACATTGGCATAGTTTAAAATTGTCTTACCCAAGGAATTAAATATTCGACTCTCCTCTTTAATCTATGCCCTTGGAAAAAACATCTGAAACTCAACTGATACTGCTCTCGGGGGCAACAGCATTCAGTGTATTGACATAGTTCTACAGCCAACAACTACAAATCAATGATTTTAAAGTCAACTAGATCTGAAGTCTAGGGATGGTTGGCTGAAGGTACAAGTCTTATTCCAATAGTGGATATCTGGAGTTATATTTTTTTAATCGCTATGCACCAACAATGTATAACATAAGCATCTTTAACTGTTCTGAGGCCAGTTGGCTAACCCAGGACAGGAAACCATCAGGACATCCAGGGAAAGGACATGGCCCCTTTCTGGTGTACCCATCAACCCTGAGTCCACAGAGACAAACAGCCTTGTGGTGACACAGCAGGGACTGCTTGCACATAGTGCCAAGTGTGGTTTGGATTATGAAATGTCACTGTCCTGCTAAATGAAAGTCACCTCTTTTATTCTTTAGCTTGGGCTTAACTGTTGAAGTGGATTCGATCATCCCTACTAGAGCTATATTGAATCCCTTGTTGGTGATCCTCACATTCAAAATGCATAAACAAGCCATGCTAAATTGGGGCACTACTGCGCTCCACAAAAAGAATACTTGCTGTTATGAACTGAATGTTTGTTTATGTCTCCCCCAAATCTGCATGTTGAAATCTAATTCCTATTGTTCTGATATTTTGGAGGTTATGCCTTTGAGAGTGATTAGGTCATGAAGGCAGAGCCCTCATGAATGGGATTGGTGCCCACATAAGAAAGGCCAGAGGACTCCCTTGCTCTCCTTCTGCCACGTGAGAAAGTACCAAGAAGTTAGCTGCCTGCAACCCAGAAGAGGGCTCTCATCAGAACTCGACCATGTTGTTGACCTGATATTGGACTTCCCAGCCTCTAGAACAGTGAGGAATAAACTTCTGTTTAAACCACCCAGTCTGCCATATTTTGTTAGAACAGACTGAGCTGACTAGGACTTGCTTCTCTCTTTAAGTCTATGAAAATAATATTGTGTTGGAAGAAGATGTAGAAGTGCCATTTTGATGTGATTCATAAAACCTGAAATGACCATAGACTGGGTATACTTTGTGACTTCCGGCCTTCTGTCCATTCTTTAAAAAAAACAACAACTATATTTTTATTGGTTTCAAAGAGGAATGGAGGGGAAGAGATAGGAGCATCCATGATGAGAGAGAATCATTGATCAGCTGCCTCTTGCATGCCCCACACTGGGGATCGAGCCTGCAACCCGGGTATGTGCCGGTTGACACTCAACCACTGAGCCACACCAGCCAGATTGCTGTTCCTTCTTATAAGAATGACCCAGTGGTTTTGTTGTTGAGTTATTCCCCTAGTAGAGGAGGATTGTGCTCTATCATCTTCACTCATAGTCACTGATTTTTGTGAACCACCCAACAGGTCTATCTTTTTAGAGTTATGGGGTCTTCTGTTTACATTAGTTATCTTAATGGAAGAGGAACAAAAGGCCTCTATATCTGATGCAATTTTACAAGCTAAACAAACAGGCAAATTCCAGACAAGAGGAAGGTAGGTATATTTGTTCATGTTAAGCCTATGGCTTCAGATATGTCATTTTAGCTATATGCTACTTTCCAATCTTTTAAAAATATAATTTAGCCGGGACCGGTTTGGCTCAATGGATAGAGCATCGGCTTGGGGACTGAAGGGACCCGGGTTCGATTCCGGTCAAGGGCATGTACCTTGGTTGCGGGCATATCCCCAGTACGGGGTGTGCAAGAGGCAGCTGATCGATGACTCTCTCTCATCGATGTTTCTAACTCTCTATCTTTCTCCCTTCCTCTCTGTACAAAATCAATAAAATATATATAAAAAATACATATAATTTAATTTGATCTAGACCCACACATAACCTTCAATGTATTGTGTTTAAGAGCACAGGCTCTGGAAACAGACTGCCTGTGTTCAAAGCTCTACCACAATCCAACTGACCTTGAACAAATTATTTCATTGTCTCCCCATCGATCAAATGGGGATTAGAGTAGTGCCTAGGACTCATTTGGTTGTTTGTGAGGATTAAATAAAGTAATTCATATTAAGTATTTTGTCTAGCAGTACAAATCACTGCTCAATAACTACCAATAGATTAATATTATTGACCTATTTGAATCTTTCATTCACATTCTTTCTTTTTCATATAATTACTTCAGGAAATCGGATGAAGATACATGGTTAGGTGAAGAATCCACAAGTTAGCTCGATGTAACCATCATTATTTTTATTAGAAAAAAGCAACGCCTGGGCGTCCTCTTTTATTCTTACTATTAATACTGCTAGTTTTAATCCGTTGATATGGTTGAGATAAAAACCCTGGCAACTCTGCCCCCAGCTCTTTGCCTTGACCCTTCTTTAGGCCTGGGTTTTGCTCACTTATATAAATCATTCCTTTCTGTTTCATAAACTCTCTGTGTACTTTTCTTGAAAAAAAAATAAATTAATATTAGTGAGAAATTCTATAATAAGAGCCACTCTACCACTCGATAACTACTTCCTGAGGTGACAGGTGCAGGGCCATAAAGGAAGAGGATGAGGCAGATCTCAGTCAACGGCAGCTATCAGGAGAGCTACTGGGACAGAGAGTCAGTGGTAATGGCCCAATCAGTGTTAGAAGAGACAGCACAGACCTGAGCCAAAACCTGATCAGTGCCCCTGCTGCAGGGGGAGTGAGTCATGAAGTGTGAGTCCTCCAACTTTATTCTTTTTTTTTTTCAAGATTATTTGGACCATTCTCGGTCCCTGGCATTTCCATAGGAATTTTATGATCAGCTTGTCCATTTTTGCAAAAAGGTAGCTGGGCTCTCGATAGGAATACGTTGCATCTGTAGATCAGTTTGGGGAGTAATGCCATCTCAACATATTAAGGTTTCTGTCCACAAAAATGGGTCATCTTGCCTTGGCTCATGTGTCTCACTTGGTTGGCACGTCATCCCATGAACCAGAAGGTGGTGGGTTAATTCCCAGTCTGGGCACGTACCCAGATTGCAGATTTGGTCCCTGGTTGGGGCATGTGCAGGAGGCAACCAAATGATGTTTCTCTTCTCTCTTCTCTTTCTCTCTCTCTCTCAAAGAAAAATAATAATTTTAAAATAGGATATCTTTCTGGCACAATCTTAAGTATTGTTTCCATGTTTTAAGCTTCCTAAGGGCAAAGTCTGCTTTTTTAGTTTACCACTCTAACCCAAGGTCCTGATCTCATTAGGTGCTAAATAAATACATGGACAAATATATAATAAGGGTTATATTTTTACTGATTTATAGCCTGAAATACAATTCCAAAGATATTAAAAGTGAATATATTATCTATCTATATGTGTATTATGTATAGTTAATACAAGTAATTTCCCCTTTAAGAATGCTTGTTTTATTTTTCTACACATTCTTCGGTTTAATCTTTCTTCAGGAAACCCTGAAGAAGCAAATCAGGTTTGTACAACATGAACCTCAGGAATGATTCAAACAGGAGGTAACACCTCATATTTGTTTTAAAAGAAGAAAAGTGAATAAAACAGGGAACTGCTTCTAACACAGGAAATGACTTAC